GTCACATTCTAGATTTCATTGAACGTAATTTATATGAATAACTGGTAAATTATTAAGTCAGGGATTTCATTACCACAAATTTATTAAAAATCTTTACTAAATTCTTTCAAAGATACAAAGATTTGTAAAAATTTGTAAGGGGTTCCTCAGAACCCTGTGTCTCGCCTGCGATTGCTGCTGTCTGTGTTAAAGTGTAATGTTGACTAAAAAAATTAGTCCATTTATCAGTATTTAAAAAAAAATCAAACGTTTTTATTAGGTGCTATTTCTTGGTCTTGAAGATTAGCTCCTGTCCAAGTTTCAAACAATCCATGAAGGTTTACAAATTTATCATGTGAAAAAATTTTAATACCAGACTGTCTGTAAATACTAACTGTAAAAAACTAAGTCCATCTATCAGAAAAATACTAATAAAGAGCTGCGCCATGAGCGCATAATACACATGTGGCTTTTTCAGAGAATAAAGTTCAATAATTCCTCAAAGTCATATCATAAATTTATAAAACAAGAGTGCACACGCTGAAATGTCTCGCCTTCTTTACTAATCATTGATATTATGTTGATAGTCCTAAATATAAAGCTTTACTACAACTATCACATACACTTAACATGATCCAAGAAAATGAGGTCAAGGTCATATAAACCAAACAAGAAATACATGTACACCTTACAATCATTCAATACACTAAATATAGTTGACCTATTGTTTATAGTTTCTAAGATACAGACTTAACCAAGAAAACTAAACATTGACCAATGAACCAAGAAAATGAGGTCAAGGTCAGATGAACAATGCCAGGCAGACATGTACTACAGCTTGCAATCCTTCCATACAACAAATATAGTTGACCTATTGCTTATAGTATTAGAAAAACAGACCAAAACTCAAAAACTTAACACTGAGCAATGAACCGTGAAAATGAGGTCAAGGTCAAATAAAACCTGAAAGACTGACAGGTACATCATAAAATATTTCCATACACCAAATATAGATGACCTATTGCATATAGTAATAGAAAAAAAGACCAAAACTCAAAAACTTAACTTTGACCACTGAACCATGAAAATAGGGTCAAAGTTAGAAGACACCTGCCAGCTAGACATGTACACCTTACAATCATTCCATACACCAAATATAGTAGACCTATGGCATACAGTATAAGAAAAACAGACCAAAACACAAAAACTTAACTATAACCACTGAACCATGAAAATGAGGTCAAGGTCAGATGACACCTGCCAGTTGGACATGTACACCTTACAGTCCTTCCATACACCGAATATACTAGACCTATTGCTTATAGTATCTGAGATATGGACTTGACCACCAAAACTTAACCTTGTTCATTGATCCATGAAATGAGGTCGAGGTCAAGTGAAAACTGTGTGACGGGCATGAGGACCTTGTAAGGTACGCACATACCAAATATAGTTGAACTATTGCATATAGTATTAGAAAAAAAGACCAAAACTCAAAAACTTAACTTTGACCACTGAACCATGAAAATGAGGTCAAGGTCAGATGTCACCTGCCCGCTAGACATGTACACCTTACAATCATTCCATACACCAAATATAGTAGACCTATGGCATACAGTATAAGAAAAACAGACTAAAACACAAAAAATTAACTATAACCACTGAACCATGAACATGAGGTCAAGGTCAGATGACACCTGCCAGTTGGACATGTACACCTTACAGTCCTTCCATACACCGAATATACTAGACCTATTGCTTATAGTATCTGATATATGGACTTGACCACCAAAACTTAACCTTGTTCACTGATCCATGAAATGAGGTCGAGGTCAAGTGAAAACTGTCTGACAGGCATGAGGACCTTGCAAGGTACTCACATACCAAATATAGTTATCCTATTACTTATAATAAGAGAGAATCTAACATTACAAAAAATCTTAACTTTTTTTTCAAGTAGTCACTGAACCATGAAAATGAGGTCAAGGACATTGGACATGTGACTGACGGAAACTTCGTAACATGAGGCATCCATATACAAAGTATGAAGCATCCAGACCTTCCACCTTCTAAAATATAAAGCTTTTAAGAAGTTAGCTAACGCCGCCGCCGCCGTAGCCGCCGCCGCCGCCACCGGATCACTATCCCTATGTCGAGCTTTCTGCGACAAAAGTCGCAGGCTCGACAAAAACTAAAGGGAGGTTATTTTAATAGATACAAGAGTGCACACGCTGAAATGTCTCGCCTTCTTTACTAATCATTGATATTATGTTCATAGTCCTAAATATAAAGCTTTATTACAACTGTCACATAAACTTAACATTAACCAAGTAAACTAAACATTGACCAATGTACCATGAAAATGAGGTCAAGGTCAGATGAAGCATGCTAGGCAGGCATGTACAGCTAACAATTCTTCCATACAACAAATATAGTTGACCTATTGCTTATAGTTTAAGAAAAAAGAACAAAACATAAACTTAACACTGAGCAATGAACCTTGAAAATGAAGTCAAGGTCAAATAAAACCTGTGTGGCTGACATATAGATCATAAAATATTTCCATACACCAAATATAGTTGAACTATTGCATATAGTATTAGAAAAAAAGACCAAAACTCAAAAACTTAACTTTGACCACTGAACCATGAAAATGAGGTCAAGGTCAGATGACACCTGCCAGCTAGACATGTACACCTTACAATCATTCCATACACCAAATATAGTAGACCTATTGCATACAGTATAAGAAAAACAGACCTAAACACAAAAACTTAACTATAACCACTGAACCATGAAAATGAGGTCAAGGTCAGATGACACCTGCCAGTTGGACATGTACTCCTTACAGTCCTTCCATACACCGAATATACTAGACCTATTGCTTATAGTATCAGAGATATGGACTTGACCACCAAAACTTAACCTTGTTCACTGATCCATGAAATGAGGTCGAGGTCAAGTGAAAACTGTCTGACGGGCATGAGGACCTTGCAAGGTACGCACATACCAAATATAGTTATCCTATTACTTATAATAAGAGAGAATTTAACATTACAAAAAATGTTAACTTTTTTTTCAAGTAGTCACTGAACCATGAAAATGAGGTCAAGGACATTTAACATGTGACTGACGGAAACTTCGTAACATGAGGCATCCATATACAAAGTATGAAGCATCCAGATCTTCCACCTTCTAAAATATAAAGCTTTTAAGAAGTTAGCTAACGCCGTAGCCGCCGCTGCTGCCGGATCACTATCCCTATGTCTAGCTTTCTGCGACAAAAGTCGCAGGCTCGACAATAAACCAGTCACTTAAGTTTCATGAAAACTGCTCAAAGCACTTTTGAGTTATTGTCCGAAAACTTTTTTAATGAATAAAGGCCCCATCCCATAACTCAAAACGTAAAATCTAAAATTTATAAAAATCGAAACGGAGCGCAAGTCAATAGATATAAACAATTCACCAAAGTTTCATGCAAATTGGTTAAAGCGTTTTTGAGTTATTGTCCAACATGTCCAACGGATGGACAACAGTATACCATAATACGTCCCTTAAACGGGTGTATAAAAATGAAAAAAATATATTTTCAAATGTTTGCTTCAGGTATTATCTCTTAATCATTTAAAAAGTTTCTCTATGAAGGTTTGACAAAGTAACTGATGTGTAAAAAACTTTAATCCCAGACTATCTACTTGTTAATTGTAAAAAAAAACTATCAATAAAAGTCCTGTTTTTTTTTCTGCAAAGTCTTTGTTAAAATATACTTTGTAAACCGGACCCTGTATATTCTGAATTCCGGTCTAATGATGCAGTCCCAATACTCCTAATTACATCAATTATTACCTGTCAAAACCAGACTGTCTAATTAATTATAAATGATAACAATATTGATCGATATGCAATCAAAACATATTTGTTTATACAAGATGGCTTTTCAGGATAATCAATTAGCCAGGTGTTAAACCGCGAACATTCAATGGTACAATAGTGAGCTATATTATAAAAACACTATTAAAGTGTAAATTAAACTAAAAGAATCGTGTTTTCGAAATCCTGTTGTGAACCCCTTTAAACAATGACCCTGATAGTGAGTAACACCTGGATGACAACAATCAATGAGTATCGTAAACTGTACGACAATTTGTTGATCATGATGAAATTTCATTTTATAACATTCTGCCTTTTTTATATGCTATACCAACGTCGGAAATGAAAAATGGAAGTAAAACGAAACTCTTGTGTCACGTTTCAAACAACCCGAGGATAAACAATGAACATAAAGTGAAAGTGAAACTGACAAATCGGAGACTGATGCTACCAAGGTCTATTTGACATATGAGGATATGTTAAAAAAGGTTAAAATATTTATTTTTTGAATTCGAGGAACAACCAGTTACTTAAATTTTTATAGCCAATGAATAAGAAGATTCAACACAACGATGATGCGAAGTTATTACGTTTTTACGTTTTGTATTTATCAGTTTATAATTTACAATCAGACAGAACATTTACATACAATATATCGGACGTCACAATTTATTAACTTCCGGTCAAAACGGAAACCTGAATAAACCGGCCCACTGTCCAAACCGGCCCTTTTTCTTAGTCCCGTAGCAGGCCGGTTTATACAGGTTTTACTGTATAGCCAAATCTTTGTATCTATGAAAGAATCTAAGAATTTTTTTTAGGGTAACGAAATCCCTGACTTAATAATTTACCAGTTATACATAGATTACGTTTATTGAAATCTAAAATATCAATTAAGACACATGCATATCAAACAATTTTGGAAATAAACACACTGTAAGAAGGGCTAAACGAACATCATCTTACAAAAAAGGAAAATAACAATAGGGAACAAAAAATTGCCTATTTTGTCATAAAAACATGATTCAGAAATTCCAGATAATACAAGTATTGTTTCCTAAAACTTTTAATTCCATTCCAAAACTTAGAAATAAACAGCTTCATAACTTTCTTTCCAACATTTAAATGCATGCTTCAGTATCAAGTCTGTATAAATTTTAAATTGCCTTTATTCATGATACCATATATGTATATATACAAATGTTTTATTTACTTTATTCATTTTCACACATGACAAATTCTATAACAAACAAACAAAGGTTTCCTCTAAAAAATATCTAAAACAACATTTATACAAGTAAAAGTTAAAAAAAATTTCTCAGTATTACTTTGTCACTTCTATACTGTATCATCTAATATTGCTTCTGACTAATTATATAACTAATGTCTCCTAAATCTCATATTGAATAAAAGTATTTTGTCAATCAATACTTTACGTTTCTGACAACCAGAAGCTAAAAAATCATGATAATAAACATTATATTTTTACATGGATTTTTAGTAATTTTTGTGTAAACAAGTCTGACAAATGAATGAAAATATAAACAACATAAGGATCACTGAAGTTATATACCCAACCAGTTAAGATGGGGTCAAAGATTTTGACATCAATAAAAGAAAGCAATTCTTTCAACAAGTTTTGAGAATCCTGAATGTAACTGTAACATTGCTAAAACTTTTCTGGATGGCAACTGTTAAACAAATAGATAAATATATCAAAGCAGATATATGATTTCGTATAGTTCAGTTCAAATGCTTTATCTTCTTTGTAAATAGCAACATGCAATTGTAATTTGACAGTATCTATATATCCAACTTCGATTGCACTTGACTACACCAAACAAAATGGCCCAGTTCCATGTACTTCATGTCTTTGAAAACATTCAAATAAGTCCAACTTTCTGTCACAACATACTTGAATCCACATCTGAAATGATAAATCAATTAGATGATGTCTGTGTAACAAAAGATTCACATTTACAAAAACGTTGCACAGCCAGGAACTATACAACTACACTAGAAGAAAATATTATTCATAGGTTTCTTAGAAATATAGACCTTCACATTAATTTTAACAATTTACACAATTCTAGTTGATTAAAATCTGTCAGCAAGCAATGCACAACTGGCAGTAATACTGAAATACATTACAACTTCACACTGAGATGACAGTAAACTGTAAGGAGGGTTGCATAACAGTATTACCATAGGTTTTTGAATGGAATTAAAATCAAAACTTAACCAGTGTCTGGTATGTATGTCACAGTATAATAATGTTGCTGAATTGTATTGTTCTTGCAGGAGAAATGGAGCTGTGAAATATACATGTATCATAATTCCCACTCATTTTGCAATAAATAATTCCTGGTTTGTCAGGATTTACCTCAAATTATTCATGTATTTTTAAGGATGGTATCATAAGACATAGATGAAGAAACAATAAGTTACTTTTCACCTTTAGGTTGCAATTCTGTAAATATAGACAATGCAATTTCCCATAGGAACTCCCTTTGTGGCTAAAACTGTGCCACTTTTAATAGGAAGTTTCGTGAAAAATTATATCCCAGAACGAAAAGTTGATATGCACTACTATTTTATTCAAAGGTCAAAATATAGGGCTGTGCGGCATATTTTCAACATTTATATGCCCTGAACTTTTAAGAGTTTAAACTTATACTAAAATTCTATACTAACCCTACCTCCACTTTTGGACCTCCTAAGAATTAAATTTTAGACGCTACCATTTTTTTCTATACTGGTAACATTCTCAAGTTATGTCTCTATGAGATGAAACACAGAGATGATATCTGGGAACCAGTACGTTAACAAATTAACATATCTATGAATATTATATATCTCTCCAAAAGAGGCTCGGCTTGTGAAACAGCTGTATTTACAAAGTGCAACCTTTAGACAAGTATAAACCGCCCAACAGAATTACAATATATAAACTGTGAGATTTGCAAGAATTTCAAATGCATTACCCTATTCCCCCATTTGTATGTTATGCAAGGGGAAAGCCGCCTAAAAACATCAGGATTAGATATTACAAGAGTGCACAAGCTGAAATGTCTCGCCTTCTTTACTAATCATTGATATTATGTTGATAGTCCTAAATATAAAGCTTTATTACAACTGTCACATAAACTTAACATTAACCAAGAAAACTAAACATTGACCAATGAACCATGAAAATGAGGTCAACGTCAGATGAACCATGCCAGGCAGACATGTACAGTTTAACAATTCTTCCATATAACAAATATAGTTGACCTATTGCTTATAGTTTAAGAAAAACAGACCAAAACACAAAAACTTAACACTGAGCAATGAACCTTGAAAATGAGGTCAAGGTCATATAAAACCTGCGCGACTGACATATAGATCATAAAATATTTCCATACACCAAATATAGTTGACCTATTGCATATAGTATTAGAAAAAAAGGCCGAAACTCAAAAACTTAACTTTGACCACTGAACCATAAAAACGAGGTCAAGGTCAGATGACACCTGCCAGCTAGACATGTACACCTTACAATCATTCCATACACCAAATATAGTAGACCTATTGCATACAGAATAAGAAAAATAGACCAAAACACAAAAACTTAACTATAACCACTGAACCATGAAAATGAGGTCAAGGTCAAATGACACCTGCCAGTTGGACATGTACACCTTACAGTCCTTCCATACACCGAATATACTAGACCTATTCCTTATAGTATCTGAGATATGGACTTGACCACCAAAACTTAACCTTGTTCACTGATCCATGAAACGAGGTCGAGGTCAAGTGAAAACTGTCTGACGGGCATGAGGACCTTGCAAGGTACGCACATACCAAATATAGTTATCCTACTACTTATAATAAGAGAGAATTTAACATTACAAAAAATGTTAACTTTTTTTTCAAGTAGTCACTGAACCATGAAAATGAGGTCAAGGACATTGGACATGTGACTGACGGAAACTTCGTAACATGAGGCATCCAGGTCTTCCACCTTCTAAAATATAAAGCTTTTAAGAAGTTAGCTAACGCCGCCGCCGCTGCCGGATCACTATCCCTATGTCCAGCTTTCTGCGACAAAAGTCGCAGGCTCTAAAAAAATGGTGGTTTAACAAAGCTATTAAGGCAATATAATATTTATTGAAATTTTCACTAAATTCCAGGCTGCTATGTATTGCAGATATAATGTCTGGATGGACAAATAAATGTAACAAGAGTGCACACACTGAAATGTCTCGCCTTCTTTACTAATCATTGATATTATGTTGATAGTCCTAAATATAAAGCTTTATTACAACTGTCACATAAACTTAACATTAACCAAGAAAACTAAACATTGACCAATGAACCATGAAAATGAGGTCAAGGTCAGATGAACCATGCCAGGCAGACATGTACAGTTAACAATTCTTCCATATAACAAATATAGTTGACCTATTGCTTATAGTTTAAGAAAAGCAGACCAAAACACAAAAACTTAACACTGAGCAATGAACCGTGAAAATGAGGTCAAGGTCATATAAAACCTGCGCAACTGACATATAGATCATAAAATAATTTCATAAACCAAATATAGTTGACCTATTGCATATAGTATTAGAAAAAAAGACCAAAACTCAAAAACTTAACTTTGACCACTGAACCATGAAAACGAGGTCAAGGTCATATGACACCTGCCAGCTAGACATGTACACCTTACAATCATTCCATACACCAAATATAGTAGACCTATTGCATACAGTATAAGAAAAACAGACCAAAACACAAAAACTTAACTATACCCACTGAACCATGAAAATGAGGTCAAGGTCAGATGACACCTGCCAGTTGGACATGTACACCTTACAGTCCTTCCATACACCAAATATACAAGACCTGTTGCTTATTGTATCTGAGATATGGACTTGACCACCAAAACTTAACCTTGTTAACTGATCCATGAAATGAGGTCGAGGTCAAGTGAAAACTGTCTGACGGGCATGAGGACCTTGCAAGGTACGCACATACCAAATATAGTTTTCCTATTACTTATAATAAGAGAGAATTTAACATTACAAAAAATGTTAACTTTTTTTTCAAGTAGTCACTGAACCATGAAAATGAGGTCAAGGACATTGGACATGTGATTGACGGAAACTTCGTAACATGAGGCATCCATATACAAAGTTTGAAGCATCCAGATCTTCCACCTTCTAAAATATAAAGCTTTTAAGAAGTTAGCTAACGTTGCCGCCGCTGCAGGATCACTATCCCTATGTCGAGCTTTCTGCGACAAAAGTCGCAGGCTCAACAAAAAATTGACCTGTATTTATTTTACTAAAGCCTTGATCAAGGGGATAATACAAATTTCAACCATTCTTTGGTCATTATAGTTTGGAATTTGATTTTACCCCATATCTTTGTGCTTTTAAAATGGAAAGATGTAGTATTTATTATCAACAGCTAATAAGATCTACTGAAAACAGTGCTAAGGGCCATCTTGAATTTGCAGTGAGTTGTGAATTTCTCTTTGCCTTGAATGCTTCACTGTAACTTAAAACACAAGAGCAGCAAAGAAAGAGCTGTTATATGCTAATGTTTTACTTATGAATACCGGTAATCATATGGTCAAATCTGTGTAGGGATTTTGTGTCATAAATTCATACACATTTTCATTAAATCAAGCAAAATGCAATGTAAAATAGAATGGAATCATTGTGAATTTAATAAATTCATTTAGTCTTAATTAATAATACAAGCTGATCAGCTATAAATTCTGTTTCAATTTTACCAAAAATTCTCTCAAAGGTTATGTATCATTTTCAAAAAGATAATTTACTATCTGAAAAGAACTACTTTATGAAAAAATTCGTAAGGGTTCTGCGGAACCCAGTGTCTCGCCTACTTTTGCTGTTAATCGCAGGCTCAACAAAAATGAGAAAAAAAATCTACAAAAATATTCCTTTAGATACTATATTTTAATTGTAAGAAGCTTCTGTCAAAGTTTGGTATAAATCCAGGATAGTTTATGAATCTAATAAATGTTTTAAAAACTTTAACTGCAGACTGTATTTGATGTTAACTGGAAGAAAAACTAAGTTCATTTATAAGTAAATCACGGATAAACAGGTACAAAATTTAAACAAAATTTCCTTCTAGATACTAGCTTTTGATCATAAACAAGCTTCTGTCCAAGTTTGGTACAAATCCAGGATAGTTTAAGAAAGTTATTAAAATTTTAAAAACTTTAACCACAGAGTGAATGTATTGTTTCCTGGCAGAAAAACTAAGTACATTTATAAGTAAAATACGGAAAAAAAATTTTTTTTTTAACAAATTTACTTCTGGATACTATCTTATTATCATAAACAAGCTTCTGTCCAAGTTTGGCAGAAATCCAGGATAGTTTAAGAAAGTTATTAAAATTTTAAAAACTTTAACCACAGAGTGAATGTATTGTTTCCTGGCAGAAAAACTAAGTACATTTATAAGTAAAATACGGAAAAAATGATTTTTTTTTTTTAACAAATTTACTTCTGGATACTATCTTATTATCATAAACAAGCTTCTGTCCAAGTTTGGCAGAAATCCAGGATAGTTTAAGAAAGTTATTAAAATTTTAAAAACTTTAACCACAGAGTGAATGTAATGTTTCCCGGCCGAAAAACTAAGTCCATTTACAAGTAAAATACGGAAACACAGGAATTTTATTTTTACAAAATTTACTTCTGGATACTATCTTATGATCATAAACAAGCTTCTGTCCAAGTTTGGTAGAAATCCAGGATAGTTTAAGAAAGTTATTAAAATTTCAAAAACTTTAACCACAGAGTGAATATTTGTGGACGCTGCCGCCGACGCCGACGGAATGTAGGATCGCTATGTCTAGCTTTTTCGACTAAAGTCGAAGGCTCGACAAAAATCAGAATGAACTATTGTGTCTTAAAAATCAAGGCAAACATGGAAAAGAAAACTGAAATTTAAATATGATCCGGGTAAACTTATCGATCCTTTAAATAAACTTATTCTAAAAGGTTACCAATTCAACACTGTAATTAGATCTTTGAATATTGTTTTTATTGGTATTAATATTGATTTTGTTATCAGTTATTTAAAATCAAACTAAATATTATTTTGATAAACATATGCACATTCATGGCTCTACAATCTGTCGATACCTGTATCTTGGCATTGCACAAGGTCATGTTTTTCTCTGACTGTTAATGACGTCTTTACACTTAATCCATTGGATGTTGGATGTGTACTGATTGATATTTTAGTCTTAGATGCTTGATTTTTTTTTATTAGTTGTTATTTGCTTTGGACTTGCTGTCAGTAACTGCAAGTACTCTCAGATCTGTACTTAGTGTCTTTTTGTTGTGGGGATGTATAAGTACCCTGCCATGTCCACTCTGTGTTTTTGTTATGTATATTTCTGTTTGTATCCATCTGATGAGTTAAGCCTTTTTCAACTGATTTTTATAGTTTGTTCTTATGTTGTACTGTATTCCAATGTCCCAGGTTAGGAGAGGATTGGGCGCCCGCTAACATGTTTAACCCGCCACATTCTGTATGTGCCTGTCCCCAAGTCAGGAGCCTGCAATTCAGTGGTTGTCGTTTGTTGCTGTGCATCATATTTGTTTTTCGTCTATTATTTTGTACTTATATTAGGCCGTTAGTTTTTCTCTTTTGAATTGTTTTACATTTGTCATACAGGGCCTTTTATAGTTGACTATGCGATATGGGTTTTGCTCATTGTTGAAGGCCGTACGGTGACCTATATTTATTAATTTCTGTGTCATTTGGTCTCTTGTGGAGAGTTGTCTCGTTGGCAATTATACCACATCTCCTTATTTTATATGAGCATACAAACTGTAAATGATATGTCAAAAGTTTCTCTCATTACTATTTGCAGATGAGCAAAATAATATATCTACTCTTTAGAATATTACATGACATTTACCTTATCATCAGTCAGTCAAGGGTGTAACTTGAATAAGTTATTAGAGAAAAATAACATACATGTGTTATTATGGATACTTTCTCTTAATCTGTAGTAACATATGTTTGTTATCAGTTAAATGTACCATAATTTTTTTTATTTTCAGTGGGCACTTGGGAATTCTTGAAACTTGCCCAGTAACTTAATACATAACCTTGAAAACTAATTTTCCAATTTAATTAATACATTTTTGATCAACCATGGTAAATCAATGAGACAAGGCTTTTAAGTAATAACTTAGCTGTAATAACAATGCTTAGTTATTACAGGCATTTAACTTATTACATGAGACACTTGGAAATGACTAGGAAGCTTGCGCAGAACCTCATTACATGCTCTTATCATTATTTATTACAATAAATTAAAATACATTGTGATATATGTAGGAGAAAAGGCTTTGAAGAGATGTAGAGAAGCTGTAATAACACCCTTTAGTTATTACAGGCATACTTTTTCTGTAATAACATGGGTGTGTTATGCATGATTGGCAAACTATGGGCTGTTATATCTTTCTAAAGTTTACTATACATAAAGACAATTATAATATCAATAGAACTAGTACACGATTTAACAAAATAAAGGATGTATAATGCCCCTTTGAAACATGTAACATACATATGTTATCACAGATTTTTGATTTTTTAGCCCTCAATAACAAATGTATGTTATTTTTCTCTAATAACTTATTTAAGTTAGACCCTTGACTGTCAGTCATTAATATAAATATTACCTGAATCAAATTCTAATTTCTTGGAAGATGATGAATCCCCTTCAATATCTATGTCACTCTCTGGGGCATTTAATGCACTTAAAGTAACATCTGGAAATATATCATATAACAATTTTATCATTAATACTATTTTTAGCAGCTAAAAGTAACACACACTCTGAAACAGAAGTAACATCAAGATTGAACACATGTTTCCCTGGTGTTCTGATAATATAGTGTAAGTCTTTTGCCTTGAATCAATTGCATATGGGCCAATGCCAAGCCTGTAATGGGTGTCCTAGACAGGAAAAAGATGGAAAATGTGTCTATGGGCCACAGATGCCCCCCGCTTGCAAATATGCATGAGTCAACTTCCACATACAGATGCAGGATTCACGTAGTTAAGACCGTTTTGTGATTATAAGCATTGTGTATAAGTATCATAACATTTGGTTGAGGCAAACTAAGGTTAGAGTACGGAAACAACAGATTTAGCAATTTTTCCATTTATAAAGAGGCATAACTCAAGAACGGTAAAAGTGACGCCACCAAATTTCAAACTTGATCTGTGTTTTGTGGTAATAAGCATTGTGTATTAGTTTCATAACATTTGGTCGAGGCAAACTAAAGATAGAGAATGGAAATGAAAAATTCTGCAATTTTTATGTTTATAAAGGAGCATAACTCATGAACGAAAAAAGTGACGCCACCCAATTTCGAACTTGATCTATGTTTTGTGATAATAAGCATTGTGTTTATGTTTTATAACATTTGGTTGAGGCAAACTAAAGAAAGAGAACGGAAACAACAGATTTAGCAATTTTACCATTTATAAAGGGGCATAACTCAAGAATGGTAAAAGTGACGCCACCAAATTTCAAGCTTGATCTGTGTTTTGTGGTAATAAGCATTGTGTATAAGTTTCATAACATTTGGTTGAGGCAAACTAAAGATAGAGAATGGAAACCAAAAATTCAGCAATTTTTATGTTTATAAAGGGGCATAACTCATGAACGGTAAAAGTGACCCCACCCAATTTCAAACTTGATCTATGTTTTGTGGTAATAAGCATTGTGTATAAGTTTTATAACATTTGTTTGAGGCAAGCTAAAGTTAGAGAACGGAAACCAATTTTGGGGACGTATGAGACGGACAGACAAGGGTAACACTTAATGTCCTCTCCGCTATGGTGGGGGCAAAACCCACAAGTACCATATCACAAAAGTTTAAAGTCTGAATCAGACTTGATTATACTATGTGAGTGATGCTTGTCTATATTTAATAAACAATAAAACTTACAACTAAATCTATTTCATATGGGCCAATATGCGTGGCATGTAATGGGTGTCTTTGATAGAAAAATTAGGTAAACAGGAAGATGATGAGTGATTCACATAATAATGCATTACAGGGTCACAAAAAGCTTGATATAAAATCTCAGAAATCCTTGATTTATAGTTATGGAGAAAAATGTAATGAAAATCTCATACATGGCCATTATGTGTAAAAATATAAAAGTATTCAGTAAACAGGAAGTTGATGAGTGATCTGAAAATGCACAATAATGTACAGCATGCTCACATTAAACATGATACCAAATTTCAAGAAGCTCTGATTTTGTAAGATGGGCAGAAGGATGGACAGATATAAACCAGTATATCTCCACTTCCTATGGCATCTCTGCTTAACCCTTGTGTTTTAATCATTTAATGTCAAAAGTTAACAAAAAAGATGACAAACTCCAAGTGATGACAATAGCCCACACTCCTGCTATGTCCAAATTGAGTTAAATGGTTCTCTAATAAATGAGTCTCATAAACATAATACAATACATACAAGGTGATTGTTAATATTCGTTCTTCTAGATGTGAAGGGAATCACTGTCAAACATTGTAATTCTGGTGATTTAGGGGGAAAACAATCTGATTAAAAATATCCATTAAAACCTACAGAGAGACTTTTCAAAGTGAATCACCTGCTATCACCATCAAGAGTAATACTTAATTAAGTGACCTTCTATGCACTTCATTCATACAGAAAAAAAGAACATAAATGAAATGTAAGGAAACTAATATAATATAAATTTGAAATTTTATAATTAAATTAAAACATGCAATTTTTATATTGATAAATGAAAGTCATATCAATATATCTATAGTTTTTAATGTTGTGAATTTCTAGGAAAACACAATAGAAAGTTAAACAACATCACTTTTGATTTGTGGTTGAACAATTTGTTGGGGGTACAGATGTTGCTTAAATTTTATCTTATTTTAAAAATGCTTCTCCGAGTTCATTAAAAAAAATTTCATTTAGTAAAATGTGCAAGCAATGACAAAATTGTGAAATGGTAAATGAAGTGTTGGACAAAAGAATCTGCATTTCATTATTATATACAGTGAGCCATAATGTCAACACTGGAAATGATTGAAAGCATGGTAAAATTATAAAAAATAGTTCAGGAACCAAAGGTAATATTACCTTACTTCCTTTTTTGTTAATATCAGTTGAAAACATAGTAATACATAAATAAATAACTAATTTGTAATACATGTAACAGAAGAAACAAACAACTCTATAACAAATATAACAATAGTTTTTACCCATTGTAGTCTGTGTAGTCATATCTGTCTAATAATACAAACTTAATCACAAACAATCTCAACAACACAAGTCATGTAAGCTATTCATTCAAATGACTTCATTTTTAACAAATACATTGATATAATTTATTTTAAATGCCACTGAAGACTTACCATGTTAATTCATAAATTGTAAAATTGTTTGTCTATTTTTTTGTTTTCTTTAAATGAAAAACAATCATATTTGTGGTATAATTTGATTTTAAAAGGTTTTAAAATCTAGTTTCATGGGAGATGACTGCACATTTATGTATCTTTGTTGCCAATTTATTTTCTGAGAACACCTTACTGTGGGAATACAAATATTTAACATAGTGCAATATGGCTCATCAGATAAGTTTTATAAGAAAAGTTTGTTATTTTCAAATACAAGAGGCTCTCAAGAGCCTGAATCGCTCACCTGTATTTCAGAGGAGAAGATTTTTAAATGTTAGCAAACTTGATGAACAAATTGTGTAAATTGTCTTTAAAGGGCAATAACTCCTTAAGGGGTCAATTGACAATTATGGTCATATTAACTTTTTTGTAGATCTTACTATGCTGAACATTATTGCTGCTTACAGTTTATATATATCTATAATAATATTCAAAATAACAAGAGTGCACACGCTGAAATGTCTCGCCTTCTTTACTAATCATTGATATTAAGTTGATAGTCCTAAATATAAAGCTTTATTACAACTGTCACATAAACTTAACATTAACCAAGAAAACTAAACATTGACCAATGAACCATGAAAATGAGGTCAAGGTCAGATGAACCATGCTGGGCAGGCATGTACAGCTAACAATTCTTCCATACAACAAATATGGTTGACCTATTGCTTATAGTTTAAGAAAAACAGTCCAAAACACAAAAACTTAACACTGAGCAATGAACCTTGAAAATGAGGTCAAGGTCAAATAAAACCTGTGTGACTGACATATAGATCATAAAATATTTCCATACACCAAATGTAGTTGAACTATTGCATATAGTATTAGAAAAAAAGATCAAATCTCAAAAACTTAACTTTGACCACTGAACCATGAAAATGAGGTCAAGGTCAGATGACACCTGCCAGCTAGACATGTACACCTTACAATCATTCCATACACCAAATATAGTAGACCTATTGCATGCAGTATTAGAAAAAAAGACCAAAACTCAAAAACTTAACTTTGACCACTGAACCATGAAAATGAGGTCAAGGTCAGATGACACCTGCCAGCTAGACATGTACACCTTACAATCCTTCCATACACCAAATATTGTTGACCTATTGCATACAGTATAAGAAAAACAGACCAAAACACAAAAACTCAACTATAACCACTGAACCATGAAAATGAGGTCAAGGTCAGATGACACCTGCCAGCTAGACATGTACACCTTACAATCCTTCCATACACCAAATATTGTAGACCTATTGCATACAGTATAAGAAAAACAGACCAAAACACAAAAACTCAACTATAACCACTGAACCATGAAAATGAGGTCAAGGTCAGATGACACCTGACAGCTAGACATGTACACCTTACAATCCTTCCATACACCAAATATAGTAGACCTATTGCATACAGTATAAGAAAAACAGACCAAAACACAAAAACTCAACTATAACCACTGAACCATGAAAATGAGGTCAAGGTCAGATGACACCTGCCAGCTAGACATGTACACCTTACAATCCTTCCATACACCAAATATAGTAGACCTATTGCATACAGTTTAAGAAAAACAGACCAAAACACAAAAACTCAACTATAACCACTGAATCATGAAAATGAGGTCAAGGTCAGATGACACCTGCCAGCTAGACATGTACACCTTACAATCATTCCATACACCAAATATAGTAGACCTATTGCATACAGTATAAGAAAAACAGACCAAAACACAAAAACTCAACTATAACCACTGAACCATGAAAATGAGGTCAAGGTCAGATGACACCTGCCAGCTAGACATGTACACCTTACAATCCTTCCATACACCAAATATAGTAGACCTATTGCATACAGTATAAGAAAAACAGACCAAAACACAAAAACTCAACTATAACCACTGAACCATGAAAATGAGGTCAAGGTCAGATGACACCTGCCAGCTAGACATGTACACCTTACAATCCTTCCATACAACAAATATAGTAGACCTATTGCATACAGTATAAGAAAAACAGACCAAAACACAAAAACTCAACTATAACCACTGAACCATGAAAATGAGGTCAAGGTCAGATGACACCTGCCAGCTAGACATGTACACCTTACAATCCTTCCATACACCAAATATAGTAGACCTATTAATATTGCATACAGTATAAGAAAAACAGACCAAAACACAAAAACTCAACTATAACCACTGAACCATGAAAATGAGGTCAAGGTCAGATGACACCTGCCCGCTAGACATGTACACCTTACAATCCTTCCATACACCAAATATAGTAGACCTATTAATATTGCATACAGTATAAGAAAAACAGACCAAAACACAAAAACTCAACTATAACCACTGAACCATGAAAATGAGGTCAAGATCAGATGACACCTGCCAGTTGGACATGTACACCTTACAGTCCTTCCATACACCGAATATACTAGACCTATTGCTTATAGTATCTGAGATATGGACTTGACCACGAAAACTTAACCTTGTTCACTGATCCATGAAATGAGGTCGAGGTCAAGTGAAAACTGTCTGAAGGGCATGAGGACCTTGCAAGGTACGCACATACCAAATATAGTTATCCTATTACTTATAATAAGAGAGAATTTAACATTACAAAAAATCTTAACTTTTTTTTCAAGTAGTCACTGAACCATGAAAATGAGGTCAAGGACATTGGACATGTGACTGACGGAAACTTCGTAACATGAGGCATCCATATACAAAGTATGAAGCATCCAGGTCTTCCACCCTCTAAAATATAAAGCTTTTAAGAAGTTAGCTAACGCCGCCGCCGGATCACTATCCCCATGTCGAGCTTTCTGCGACAAAAGTGGCAGGCTCGACAATAACAAAAAACTGCAAAATTTTGTTAAAACTAGCAATTCGGTGGCAGCAACCAAACAATGGGTTGTTCGATTTGTCTGAAAATTTCAGAGCTGATAGATCTTGACCCCATGTCAGATTTGCTCTAAAAGCTTTAGTTTTTGAGATATAAGCCAAAAACTGCATTTGACCCCTATGTTCTATTTTTAGCCATGGCGGCCATGTTTGTCGATGGATCAAAACTTCGGATACAATTTATAAACTAGATACCCTAAGGAACATTTAGTTAAAGTTTGAAGGTATTTGGCCCAGTAGTTTCAGAGGAGAAGATTTTTGAAATAGTTTAAGACGACAGACGACGATAGACGCCAAGTGATGGCATAAGCTCACATGGGGAAGGGCCCCGGTGAGCTAAAAATGAAGACAAATATTTGAACATTTTTCTTTAATAAGCACAATATACATGTAAAAACTTTTTTTACATTAGTAGTATTTTTTGCTTTTATTTCAAAATTAAACTTGAACACCAACTTATAGAAGTAAATTGGCAATACCATAACATTGCAATACGGGTCAATAAAATGTACAGTTTTTTAGGGGTATTTTTTGTACATAATTTAAAACTTTTGTTAAGTTTGAAGTGAAATAAAACAAATTACAGGCACATTTTACTTTCCAACATGTTTTTTTATCTGAGCTTTAATACAATACTATGCCAACATGTGTATTTTATTGACCAGAATACCAGTTTTAGAAAATTTCTAAATTATATCAAATTTTTAACAGAAGAAAATAAAATCCCAATTTTGAAGGTCAATTGTTTCCAATACTAGTACAGTAACCTAGTTTGATTTATTCTTGGATTTATTACTATAATCTTGTCCAAAAATTATACTAAAAATTACAAAATGAGAATACTATGTAAAAAGCATATTTGGTTTGTTAAGGTCAGGAATGTAGCACTAGCCACTTTACATCATAAACTGAATCTTTTTTTATATACACATATGAAATGATGGAATGTTTTTCAACATTAAAATTACAATAACTTTGCATGATTAAATATCATTTTATTTTACCAAAGTAAATGAGACACACTACAGCATATTTGACACAAACAATAGTCTGCTTATTCCTGTAAAGGAGGACTAGTAATTGTTAATTAAAGCTATAACAACTATCTAATTATGATTTAGTTAAAATATTTGACGTTTACATTACCATTGTGTTTTTGTTTTTTAGTATGTGTAGTATGTGCAGCACCTCCTGGAGTTGGTATTGTCTGTTTTTGCACTGCAACTTTTTTAGGGGATTGTTCTGTTGGCATAGGTACGCCTGCTTCTTCAAAAGATTTTCTTTTTAACTGTGTTTTTATTTGTGATCTGAAAACAAAAGACAAAAACTATATTAAAAAATTCAGTAATCCAATTTAAAGCTATAAAATCATTTTATTTTAATGAACCTGAATTGTTTACCTCTTCAGGCATCTAAAGAATAATGATTGTCATTGGCCATAATAAGTTAGGATATAAAGTATATCCTGCAATATGAACATTTCATTATTTAAGGTAGATCATAGGTATATATTTCCTCAGATAGAACTTTTTTATACTTTGCCAAAATAAAGATTTTTGTATGCTTTTTCCAAAAATATAATAAAAAGTATGGGTCACCGTGCTATTTTTTAAGGTACAGGTCGTACGAAATTGCACAAATTTGCTTAGATTGTTCATGAAAAAACACATTTTTGTGCATAAAAAGAAATCTATGAGACAGAATTTTGAAATAAAATATGAGAAGATAGGTTTTATAATATGCTTAAAGAAAATAAAAAGAAAAAATGGTGTCACCGAACTTGTTTTCTTGCTACTAGTAAAAAATTAAAATTTCCCTATCATGAAAAAAAGATTATAAAAAAACAATTATTTGGTATTTATTTAAACATTTTGAATAATGCAATAAATCACCAAGTTTTCTTTCATTAAATAAACAGTCTAACCTATAAATTGCCTATATGTCTCCAAATTTGCAGATTTGGGCAAAGATCTAGACCGATTGTGTACTGCGATTGTACAATCCAAGATGGCGGTATACCATGAATCTACCTTAAAGTATGACTGTAATATTTTTTTCTGTCTATGAAGAAATACCATCAAAAATGTGATACAATTTAAAAGTGTGCACCACATTTTTGAGGTTATTTCGAATAGACAGAAAAAATATTACAGTCATTCCTTTTAGGATAAAATCATGAAAAAACAATGATAACTTCACAGTCACATGACAAAATTATGTCTATGAGCTGATAGACAAAAAACTTTCAGCCAATCAGAAGACGTGTTACACCCAAAATTAAATTATATGGTAATAAAGTTATAGGATACTGCTTCATTTTGCCAAAAAGAGCAGAATCATCCCAAAGCCATGACATTTACTTTTCTCATCCTTTCTAATTTTTTTAGTGATTTATTACCAGTAGTTTTTTTACAGTATTGAAGCCTTAATTTAAATAAATATTTTTCAACTTTTAAAATTACTATAGGAAAATATTTGATAAATTTCAAATGCATTTGTTGAAAGATTTTTAGAAACAGAATTATTTTCTACATTCCAAATCCACAATATCAAGAATTGTGTGTGAAAACATGAAATCAATAAGGAGTATGGGTTATGAATAAAAGTGAAAAGTTTTTTTGTATACAGTTAAACTTAAGGAAATTTAATGAGGAGTCAAATAAATGGAATCTTTGGGCAATTTGAGATTTTTTTGTAAATTTTTCCGTACAACTGGGCACCTGTATCATCAAAACAAGCACATTCTTTTTTTAAATATTAGAAGCCAAAATGATAGCATAAATTTTGAGTTTTAAGGTCAAATCCAAAAGCAGGACAAATAAAAACCCAACTAGAAAGGGAATCCATTATTTCTCCTGAACAACCTTTAAAAATTTACTCCATTTTTTGCACTCAATTTTATCAGATGAGATTTCATTTATTTGTAGGGAAATTATAGAAATCTGTAAAACAAATAAAGTGCTGCAAAATATGTTTTGTATTTCTCTCTCTTACCCTGTATGGGAAGTTAGGAACAAAAAGACATATGTATTAAAAGTTAAGGATTTCATAAATATCATATATATATTTAATTAGTATTTTATTTGAGTATTTTTGTTTGTTTACCAATAAAGAATTAAGTGCCAATCTGCCTAAGAATCAGGCAGTGGTGAAAACATGACAAACAAAAACCCACTCAAGTTTACATTAATTTATGTTCAAAATGTATGATGGTACACAAATATAACATTCGTTTCCTTGTCCTGTTCTGGTAATTCAAGATAGAATTTGGTTGAAATGCACAAGAAATTAAAAATTAAGGGGAGCTAACTCCGTAATTTGCAATCATTCTAACCAAAAATTAATCTAGAGATTTCTCGAATTACCAGACACACAGAAAAGAAAGACCTACAATAACTAACTCAGGATGAGAGTAACTTCAAGATAGGATGGTTAGGTCAGTGGGTTTTTTTCTGTCATGTCTTGATTTTTTTTCAAAACAAAGACGTGCACTTAAATTGTTTTGGCCATATTTAAAAAAAATATCCTATTTTTTCTATGACAATGGTATAAATTTTTTAAAAGATGAAGTATAAGTGGACTTAATCACAGGAATCTTTCGACATACAAATTTATCAAGAACTTAACTTACATTGTTCTAGTTTTGATAATATTGCTAATTTTATCTAAGTCATCTCCAAATCTTTTAACTGAATTCTGAAGCATTTCTATCTCTTTTGGGGTCCATTTCCCACTGAAATGCAAAAATAAAAACAAAATACATACATGTATATAAAAAAAATAATTAGAAAAATGATAATTCTTATAACTTTAATAAGCAAGTATAATAACAAAGTATATATTTTTTTAATCTGTTACTAAAAGCTATGCACATATATGCTGATCACATTTGGATTTTCATCTTTGGTCAAGAAAATAGAAACCTGGTTAATTGAAAAGTACATTTTCATTACATGACCCCCCTCTTTATTTGGGTGACTCCCCAATTTTCCCCACATGTTTCCTATAGGTACATTATTTCCGTAAGTTCCCCTTAAAACCTCGGTTTTGAGTTTTGTTATTAGCTAGAAGTATTCAAATTTTGTACATCATTTATACATTAAAAATCACCAGATTCTTGTAACAATCTTTTAAAACATCAACAGAAAAAATACCATTTATATTACAATGACCTTTAAATAATGCAGGAAATCTAAGATAATAAAGTTCACCTTGTTCCAATTGGTTTGCTATTACTTACATAACAATTCAAACAGCTATCAAAGTGAAATTTAGCTTTATTATGGAAAAGAACTGACTGCAGATCACTTAGTATCTATGAGAAATGAATTAGGACCTCACCTTAATACCAATCAATGAAATGTAAATTATTTGTCAATGTGATATTTCCTCCTATAGAATTTTCTTATACTTAGAAGAAAATGTAGATTTTACCATGGCTTTTTCTTAAATATAATAAAAAATAAGAGTCTTTATTTCTTTTTTATACATGAAAAAACACTTTTTGTGAATAAAAAGAAATCTATGTGATACAATTTTGAAATAAAATATGAGAAGATAGGTTTAAAATATGCTTTATGAAAATAAAAAGAAACTAGAGGCTCTAAAGGTCCTGTGTCGCTCATCTTGGTCTATGTGCATATTCAACAAAGAACACTCTCCAACATTGTAGACAAGAATAGAATTCATGACAAAAATCTGTTTTGTTGTTCTTGTACTGCTAATCATTTAGTCTGTTTAGTTTCTCTCTATATAATTACTATATTCTTTAGTTTTTGCTCAAAACACAAAAGAAGGTAAAAAAAAATTCTCATTTAAGGGCAATCACTCCTATAAAAAGTGAGTCTACTTACCATATCTGCAAAATTTGGCTTGTGAGTAGATCTTGCCTTGCTGATCATTTTTGTGATTCAAAGTGGATATTTATCTATTATAATTTTTATCATATAAGGCAAAACACAAAGATAATGTTAAAAATCGTCATTAAAGGGCAATAACTACAATTAGGAGTCAACAAACGATTTCCTCAATATTGTCTTAATTGAAGATCTTGTCTTTCTGGTCATTTTTGCTTCTTTAAGTTTCAATCTACACAATGTATCTATCATAATTGTTAAGATATAAGGCAAAAACGCAAAAAATTGGTTAAAATGGTCATCAAAGGGCAATAGCTCTAATAAGAAGTCTACTGACAATTTAGACCATTAGACTTATTTGTGAAACTTGTCTTGCTGATCATTTTTGCAATTTAAAGTTTCTCTCTATCTATTAGAGTTTTCAAGATAATAGGCAAAAATAAAACATCATAGTAAAATTTGTCATTTATGGGAAATAGCTCCTTTTAGAAGTCGTCTGACAGTTTTGACGTATATGGACAATTTCTAGAGATTCGGAACATTTTTGCTCATGTCTGATTTTCTCTATTTATAATTTATATAACGGTTTTCAAAATAATAGACAAAACTTGCATTTTACCCCTATGTTCTATTTTTAGCCATGTTGGCCATCTTGGTTGGCAGGCGAGGTCATCGGACACATTTTTTAAACTAGATACCCCAATGATGATTGTGGCGAAGTTTGATTTAAATTGGCCCTGTAGTTTCAGAGAAGAAGATTTTTGTAAAAGTTAAGGACGACGACAACAGACGCCAAGTGATGAGAAAAGCTCACTTGGCCTTTAAGGACAGGTGAGCTTAAAATGGTGTCACTGAACTAGTTTTCTTGCTACAAGTAAAAAATTAAAATTTCATTACATTATTTTATGAAATTTTTACTAAGAGTTATCTAGATCTCCCCTTATATGGGTAAGATGAAAAATTGAATCGAACAAAATCAAATATTTCGTATTTGTTAAAACAGAAAATAACCTGGTAGGACTAGGTTCACTGGTAGGATGTAACTGCATTGTTAAATCACCAAGTTTATTGAATGCAACTCCTGCTGCTGTAAATATTTCTCCAACCTGTCAAAAAAAATAAATAAACACATCATAAAAATAGGGTCATCCACAATGTTTTTCCTGTATACATCATTAAATAGAATTGAGAATGGAAACAGGGAATGTGTCAAAGAGACAACCCACCTAACAAAGAGCATAAAAACAGCTCAAGGCCACTAATAGGTCTTCAAAGTATCAGGAAAATCCTGAACCCAAAAGGCAGGCTTCAGCTGGCCCCTAAACAATAATGTATACTAGTTTAGCAAAATGGACGCCACAAAACTTCCAAACATATAAATGAACCAAAACTAAATTTATATAAAGACAGAAAGATTAACATGATTAAAGTTGTGTTCTAGATGAAAATATACCACAAAAATGAAAAAAATATTATGCAGATCGTCACGTGGTAAGCCCTAAAACATCAGTTGTTAAAGTTTTCCACTACCAACTACATGTAGGTAACAGATTGATAAAATCAGGACAAACACATTTTTCAGCATGGAAAAGTTTGGCCAAAAATGTCTCATCGTAATTGATAATCTTTCAAATATTCATTTTATTGCAGTTGTAAGAATGAGGGTCTTTCATTTCTATATTCTTTTTATATTTAAGGCATTTTTCTTTACCTTTAAAAGTAACGCTTATTCTGTAAAATTCTCATGAAAAAGATTTTACGATTTAAATTTTCTGTAATTAGATGATTTGTTTATTCTGTACATGGTTCATTTCTGTGGTTATAGGAATCTCAGATGTAACCATGCAGTTTGAGAATTTACCCTACAGGTTGACTTTGCAAGTGTTTGTGAACATAGCATAACTCATAATTGTTGTACATAAGAGAACTGATGCACGATAATCTGTAGCGAAACTAGATACATGTCGTAAAACAGGTATCATTATTTTGTCGTGTGTTACATGAAGTTCTTTTCCAGTGGTTATCAATGTGTGTAGGTACGTGGTTTAGTCAGTAATTCTGAAGTAACAAGACATACGTATAACCCTTTCAGTTTGTTTTTTTTTTTTGGTTTACAATTTCTGTATTAAATCAATATATTGGTCAAAATATAATAACTCTATAATTGAAAATGTATTATATCTTTTTAAAGGTTCACTTTAAATTCATCATATACTTTGTAATTTTGTAAATGGCTAGCTATTACCATGATTACCATGACTTCCAAAGAATTTGAAAGGTATTAACAAATGTATATATATATGATGACATATACTTCTGCATAAATAAACGGAATACATATTTTAGTATTAACATTTTAATAGAATTTCAACTTCACCAAAACCATCAGATTATCTAAATTTTTGATAAAGATATCAATTTAGGTAAGCAGTCTAACAATTACAATGTATTAATAAAGTGAAAATAGTTCAAATAGACCTTTTACAAAGTTTTTTTTTGGGGTCTTTTTCACACCATGTGAAATATGTATTGCCAGGTTCTATAATTATAAGTTAACCTCAGTTATAGAGTGGTCAGGGTATCTAAGGAAAAACTTCACCTACAGTGATGCCCAGATGCTGTATCTAACGAGCTAAATCCTTGCTGAGACGTAAAATACTTCTAATAATATGTATTAATACATTATATGTTTCTATTTTCAGAGGCGGATTTAGAGGGTTTTCCAGGGGGCCCGGGCCCCCCTTTTGTGGGAAAAATTTGGTTGCTTATATAAGGAATCACTGAAGCATGACTTGAGCGGGCCCCCTCTTAGGCAGTCAATGGGCCCCCCTTATGAAAATTTCTGGATCCGCCACTAATTTTTACGTATAAATCATGTTTTTAATTAAATGCAGTTACTTTCTCACAACAAATTATGCTGGAAATTTGTTTGCAATAAATGTTTATATATATAAATCTGCTGTTAACAGGGTATCGTAAAGTATTCTAAAGGTTTTCCGACTTTGTCCACTTTCAAAGGTAACACCTGCCTCATATTATTTTTTGCTCTTTTCTTTATTTTTTTTTTTAATTTATTCTCTTTTCTGTAGTGTAAACCCCATCCAGACCTTCAAGATTGTACTAATCTAAATACATTTATAAATAAAAATATAGTAACAGATCGGAGTAGTAGTGAACGCAGTTACGTGTCCTATAAATGTATGCGCTTGTGGAGAAGTGATCAGCTGTTTAGTGTTTGAGTGTGGTAATACATTTTACTATAAGAAATATATTTTTGAATGCAATATTCAATACCTTGCTTGCAGAACTCATTTCTGCAAACAACAAGTCGTTTTCGCCGCTAAAATAATTCACCGGATGTTGACACTTTAAACCGGAAACTGTCAAACAATCTTTAATCTTTAATATTATCTTTTTATATTTAATGTTGCCTTTACTATAGTTTCAATGAAACAAATATTTTAATATCAGAATTTCATTGCAAGTAATGTGTTTCTCCATTTGTGTAAGATTTTTTGGAGACTATTTTATTTATTTTCTATTTTTAGATTGAAAAATCATGTGATTCTGTCATTCTGTCACAAGCGAATCCACCAACACAAAAGTTACCAAAATGTCAGAGAGTGAAAAGAAACCACTGTTAGGGACATCTGACGAAGAAGATAAACTAACAGGATGTGGAAAAACACTTTGCTGCAACCCGTTCAGATTTTTACACAGATATTTGATTTTGATTATCATGTGTTTCTTAAGCTTTGGTTTGTATATATAACTTATATTTTTTATATTAAAGAAATAATTCTTTCTTGCCATGCTCTATGCTCATTTTAACATGGGTATAGGCATTATATTTGTCAATACATTTATACAGAGCGTTAGCGAGGTGTGAAAAAATTACGACAAATATAAATACCTACCCTTGTTAAAATTAGCATAGAACATGGCATGATCATGATGATAGAATTATTTCTATTCTAATAGGAAAATTCAGAATTTTTATACTTAGAAGCGGACCTATAATACGCGTTCAAAAGGCATCCATTTTGATTTGTTGAACTCAAATTGTTATAGAAAATGAACCGTTTCACGATAAACAAATGAAGAGATACATGTAAACAATTACTTTTTAGAATGATTTTATTGTCGAGCCTGCGACTTTTGTCGCAGAAAGCTCGACATAGGGATAGTGATCCGGCGGCGGCGGCGGCGGCGGCGGCGGCGTTAGCTAACTTCTTAAAAGCTTTATATTTTAGAAGGTGGAAGGTCTGGATGCTTCATACTTTGTATATGGATGCCTCATGTTACGAAGTTTCCGTCAGTCACATGTCCAATGTCCTTGACCTCATTTTCATGGTTCAGTGACTACTTGAAAAAAAAGTTAAGATTTTTTGTAATGTTAGATTCTCTCTTATTATAAGTAATAGGATAACTATATTTGGTATGTGCGTACCTTGCAAGGTCATCATGCCTGTCAGACAGTTTTCACTTGACCTAGACCTCATTTCATGGATCAGTGAACAAGGTTAAGTTTTGGTGGTCAAGTCCATATCTCAGATACTATAAGCAATAGGTCTAGTATATTCGGTGTATGGAAGGACTGTAAGGTGTACATGTCCAACTGGCAGGTGTCATCTGACCTTGACCTCATTTTCATGGTTCAGTGGTTATAGTTAAGTTTTTGTGTTTTGGTCTGTTTTTCTTATACTGTATGCCATAGGTCTACTATATTTGGTGTATGGAATGATTGTAAGGTGTACATGTCTAGCGGGCAGGTGTCCTCTGACCTTGACCTCATTTTCATGGTTCAGTGGTCAAAGTTAAGTTTTTGAGTTTTGGTCTATTTTTCTAATACTATATGCAATAGTTCAACTATATTTGGTATGTGCGTACCTTGCAAGGTCCTTATGCCCGTCACACAGTTTTCACTTGACCTCGACCTCATTTCATGGATCAATGAACAAGGTTAAGTTTTGGTGGTCAAGTCCATATCTCAGATACTATAAGCAATAGGTCTACTATATTCGGTGTATGGAAGGATTGTAAGGTGTACATGTCTAGCTGGCAGGTGTCATCTGACCTTGACCTCATTTTCATGGTTCAGTGGTTATAGTTAAGTTTTTCTGTTTTGGTCCGTTTTTCTTATACTGTATGCTATAGGCCTACTATATTTGGTGTATGGAATGATTGTAAGGTGTACATGTCCAACTGGCAGGTGTCATCTGACTTTGACCTCATTTTCATGGTTCAGTGGTCAAAGTTAAGTTTTTGAGTTTTGGTCTTTTTTTCTTATACTGTATATATGCAATAAGTCAACTATATTTGGTGTATGGAAATATTCTATGATGTACATGTCAGTCTCGCAGGTTTTATTTGACCTTGACCTCATTTTCACGGTTCATTGCTCAGTGTTAAGTTTTTGTGTTTCGGTCTGTTTTTCTTAAACTATAAGCAATAGGTCAGCTATATTTGTTGTATGGAAGGATTGTAAGCTGTTCATGTCTGCCTGGCATGGTTCATCTGACTTTGACCTCATTTTCACGATTCATTGGTCAATGTTTAGTTTTCTTGGTTAAGTCTGTTTCTTAGAAACTATAAGCAATAGGTCAACTATATTTAGTGAATTGAATGATTGTAAGGTGTACATGTATTTCTCGTTTGGTTTATATGACCTTGACTTCATTTTCTTGGATCATGTTAAGTTTATGTAATAGTTGTAGTAAAGCTTTCATTTAGGACTATCAACATAATATCAATGGTTAGTAAAGAAGGCGAGACATTTCAGTGTGTCCACTCTTGTTTATATTTCCTAGAGAGCAACACCAAAACAAATATCCATTTTGATTTCCAGCATTGTTCAAAACGCAGCTGATGTTGCAATTTCAATTGTGACATTAATCACGTGCAGCCCATATTTTATTGGAATTAGAACATGGCTTTGTTTCCAAAGTGAAAGAAGAACGTCAAATTAGAATTAAGTATTTTGAAGTTTTATGTTTCAACTTTTTCTTGCTCAGTTGCTTAAAGACAAGTTTATAGTGACAAGACTTTTATCGTATTTTTATACGACCGCAAAAAAATTTTGCGGTCGTGTATTGGTACGACGTTGGCGTCGTCATCAATGTCCGGCCTCGTCGTCGTCCGAAGACACATTGGTTTTCGCACTCTAACTTTAGTTTAAGTGAATGGATCTCTATGAAATTTTACCATCAGGTTCAATACCACAAAAGGAAGATTGGGATTGATTTTGGGGGTTATATATATGGTACCAACAGTTATGGAATAAGGGGCCAAAAATAAGCATTTTTGTAACTTCCAGACATAACTTGTGTGTTAGTGTATGGATCTCTCTGACATTGTACCACAAGGTTCCATATCACAAAGGGAATGCTGGGATTCATTTTGGGGGTAATTGCCTCAAAATTTTAGGAATTAGGGTCCAAAAAAGGGGCAAAAAACAAGCATTTTTCTAGTTTAATGATAATAACTTGTGTATAAGTGTATTGATCTTTCTGAAATTGTACTACAAGGTTCCATATCACAAAGGGAAAGCTGGAATTGAGTTTGGGGTTAATTGCCCAAAATGTTTAGGAATAAGGGGCCAAAAAGGGGCCTAAAAGAAGTATTTTTCTAGTTTCCAGACAATAACTTGTGTTCAAGTGTATGGATCTCTCTGAAATTGTACTGCAAGGTACCATACCACAAAGGAAAGGCTGGGATTGATTTTGGGGGTAATTGCCTCAAAATTTTAGGAATTAGGGGCCAAAAAGGGAAAAAAAACAAGCATTTTTCTTGTTTTAGGACAATAACTTGTGTGTAAGTGTATGGATCTTTATGAAATTGTACTACAAGGTTCCATATCACAAAGGGAAAGCTGGGTTTGAGTTTTGGGGTAATTGCCCTAAACGTTTAGGAATTTGGGGCCAAAAAGGGGGTTAAAACAAGCATTTTTCTAGTTTCCAGACAATAACTTGTGCTCAAGTGTATGGATCTCTCTGAAATTGTACAGCAAGGTACCATACCACAAAGGGAAGGCTGGGATTGAGTTTGGGGGTGATGAATCATAAGGGGGTTCAAAAAATTTGGGGGAGGGATTTTTTTCCCCTTTTTTTCCTTTTTTCTTTTCTGTAAAATTTTCCATTTTAAATTGGTTATTTCTGATTTATATAGAAAAGCAAATAATAATGATATCGTTTGAATAGGTAAATTAAAAATTTTTAAGTTCTTAGACCACATTCATTCTGTGTCAGAAACCTATGCTGTGTCAAATATTTAATCACAATCCAAATTCAGTGCTGTATCAAGCTTGAATGTTGTGTCCATACTTGCCCCAACTGTTCAGGGTTCGACCTCTGGGGTCGTATCAAGCTGCGCCCCAGCGGAGCATTTTATTTGAGAGTATGACAGACTTGTTTTCTACATATCAAATTCAAAAATTCAAATTCTTCATTTTCCTAATCACAGGGCCCTTTTTCTGGTATAACAAATTTTGACACCTTCATTCACATTGTCATACCACTCTTTTTCACTCCGCTCACTCTGATCTTAAAGCTTTGTTATAGGAACACCAAACAACTGAATGATTAGTTAAATAGGCTTTGCATTGCTACCTAAATTTAACCTGATCCATAGCATTGTATTACATGTCATACATATGCATGTACGTCAGATTCCAAGTTCAATTTTATGAAAATGTGTCATGGGAAATTGTGATGGGAAGATATTTGCTTTGTTTTAAATTTTTCCTAGAAAAAGCACCAGTTGGAAGATCATGAATTTGAACTAAAGGTGTGAAGAAAATGCTACTTTTTCATGTTAAAATTTATTTAACTTTTTTGTGGGAGGATGTGGGGGGGGGGGGGGGGTCTCCTATATCATCATGTATATTTACTCTTTAAAAGTTCTAGCTGGTCATGCTTTTAAGTTCCTAGTAAGGAGAATAGGATTTACCTATATTCATCGTTATACAAGTACATGTATATACTTTGAATTTTATAATTATTCATGGGATACCAATTTTCCTTAATTTTTAGGGCAAAAGTTAACGACAAATTGAGGTGTTCAACAAAATACAAATTTTCAATGTACTTTTTATACGCCCGTTTACGGGACATATTATGGTATACCGTTGACCGTCTGTCCGTCCGTCTGTCTGTCCATCTGTCGTCAACATGTCGGACATGAACTCAAAAAAGCTTCAACCAATATGCATGAAACTTTGGTGAATTGTTTATATCTATTGACGTGAGCTCCCTTTCATTTTTTATAAATTTCAGATTTACCGTTTTCGAGTTTTGGGGTTTTATTCATTAAAAAAGGGGAGATTTTCCAGTTTTCCGACAATATTATAACTCAAGAATGCTTTCACCAACTTGTAAGGAATTTTGGTGAATTGTTTATATCTATTGCCATGAGCTCCCTTTTGATTCTTATAAATTTTAGATTTTACATTTCGGAGTTACAGGGTTTTATTCATAACAAAGGGGGATTTTCCAGTTTTTGGACAATAACTAAAAAATGCTTTCAGCAGTTCTCATGAAACTTGGATGAATTATTTATATCTGTTGATGTAAGCTCCCTTTAGAATTTTGTAAATTTTAGATTTTACATTTCTGAGTTATGGGATTTTATTCATTAAAAAAGGGGGGATTTTCCAGTTTTTGGACAATAACTCAAAAATGCTTTCAGCAGTTCTCATGAAACTTAGGTGCATTATTTATAGCTATTGATGTAATCTCCCTATTGATTTTCATAAATTTCAAATATGACATTGAGAAGAAATTGAACTTTATTTGTTTATAGTCTGACAACAGATTTACTAAGTATTGCACAACAGCAAGAAATCTTTAATTGAATATAAATTCAATTCATATAACCAATTTCAAGTTCTTTGACTACATTTATTCAGAAACCTTATAATATGTCAAATATTTAATTATAATCCAAATTCAGACCTGTATCAAGCTTGAATATTGTGTCCATTATATTTTTGCCCCAACTGTTCAGGGTTGGACCTCTGCATGCTCTGCGGGCGTATCCAGCTGCGCTCAGCGAAGCAGTTTATATTCTTTAATCCACTAAACTTGATACCCACAAAAATAAATGAATTCACAATATTGCACATCCAGATCTATTTGTCCATATTTCAGTAAGATTTGTTGTGGAAATGATATATTTATATATATACATATGTATATGAAAGTATATACAATGTATTTATATTAAGTATTTGGTTTTGCCTAAAGTGATTGAAATTATAACATGCATGACATATAAGAAATGAAAACAACACGTTGTAAACTTCATGTGTCTGAAGCACTTTTCTGGATTTACCCTCATCAGGAATGATCAAAGCCAAATATGTGAAAGCCAAGGATGTATAAGCACCAAAACAGTTGAAGAGCTATATGATGAAAAAGTACATAAAAAAAAAACAAATCCATCTTTGCCTGAGGGAGTTGAAACCTTAGTTTCTTTATAATTTCAAAATTTATAAACAGATCATCTTTTAAGATAGGTAAGGTATGGCTTTAAAACACTATCAAATGTCCTTTTCATGCAATATATATGTGCCCAATGTACAATGATGTAATTGTACTAACTTTGCTGTGTTAACTTGCAGTTATATTCTTTCAATTTCTTTTTAGGCAGCTACTTTTGCTATGACAACCCAGCTGCCTTGCAAGACACCATGATAAAAGATCTGAAGATATCTGAAAGTGCCTTTATGGGATTTTATTCCTGGTACTCATGGCCAAATGTTATACTTTGTTTCTTTGGAGGTTTCCTAATAGACAAAACGTTTGGTGTACGACTTGGAGCAATTATTTTCAGTCTGTTTGTCACAGCTGGTCAGGTAAATACTGGTTATGCATGTTATGTATGGGGATATAAAATATTGTGATAAATCCCTGTGTTGATGTTACGTTTTCAAAGAACATGAAAAATTGAATGCTAATTTGTTACACTAATAAATCTTAATATTTTTGGAAATTGCCAATTTTTCTATTGTTGATAAAAAATGAAGAAGAAATTCCAATAGGGAAGATGTTTTACATTATTGTAGTAATTAAACCATTTTTATGTTGTTTTCATTTGAATGATTGCGAAAAGTGACTTGTCTACCATCATTGACCATCTAGGTTGGAAGGATAATATATAAAGAAACTGAAGAAGGTCAGAAATGTCTTAAAAATGGTTGAATTATTACAATAATATAGAGTTGACAGTAGATGTAAAATATGTATACATGTATAAAGAAGAGAATACATGTATATTATAATTTATATAATGTTTTTATAAGGGTTAATTTTTATTATTATATTTTGCCTATTTTATACAGATACTTTCATATTTAAATTTAATTAATGATTTCATGAACAACTTCAGGCTGAGATCATAGAATAGATCCATGTGGATATATGTGGAAGTTTTTGTAGTACTATTTATTATCTCTTATGACAAGGCTGTCATGCATGTTATGTGTATTATGAATAATATTAAATATGTATTTTAACATGGATGCTACTTCACTGACACTGGCTTTCCCTTTTTAGTTAAAATGTTAAGGTAAAATCTGACTAAATAATGTACTAAATTGTGAATCTTTATATTAATCACCTTTTAGTAATTGTCACATAAATGATTCATTCAACTTGAAGTTTAAGTGATCTTGTTTAATTGAAGATATTCATAATACAACAGAAGATTAATCATACATTTTGTACTTGATCAGTATATTGTACACAAGGAATTGAAAAAAATAAAAGATTTGATACAGATATATATCATGTATATATTGAAGCTTGCATACATAGTCTTGGAGGAAAATGTTTTTAACAAGATAAATTAATTTACATTTTTGTCGAGCCTGCGACTTTTGTCGCAGAAAGCTCGACATAGGGATAGTGATCCGGCGGCGGCGGCGGCGGCGGCGGCGTTAGCTAACTTCTTAAAAGCTTTATATTTTAGAAGGTGGAAGGTCTGGATGCTTCATACTTTGTATATGGATGCCTCATGTTACGAAGTTTCCGTCAGTCACATGTCCAATGTCCTTGACCTCATTTTCATGGTTCAGTGACTACTTGAAAAAAAAGTTCAGATTTTTTGTAATGTTAGATTCTCTCTTATTATAAGTAATAGGATAACTATATTTGGTATGTGCGTACCTTGCAAGGTCCTCATGCCTGTCAGACAGTTTTCACTTGACCTCAACCTCATTTCATGGATCAGTGAACAAGGTTAAGTTTTGGTGGTCAAGTCCATATCTCAGATACTATAAGCAATAGGTCTTGTATATTCGGTGTATGGAAGGACTGTAAGGTGTACATGTCCAACTGGCAGATGTCATCTGACCTTGACCTCATTTCCATGGTTCAGTGGTTATAGTTAAGTTTTTGTGTTTTGGTCTGTTTTTCTTATACTGTATGCCATAGGTCTACTTTATTTGGTGTATGGAATGATTGTAAGGTGTACATGTCTAGCGGGCAGCTGTCATCTGACCTTGACCTCATTTTCATGGTTCAGTGGTCAAAGTTAAGTTTTTGAGTTTTGGTCTTTTTTTCTAATACTATATGCAATAGTTCAACTATATTTGGTATGTGCGTACCTTGCAAGGTCCTCATGCCCGTCAGACAATTTTCACTTGACCTCGACCTTATTTTATGGATCAGTGAACAAGGTTAAGTTTTGGTGGTCAAGTCCATATCTCAGATACTATAAGCAATAGGTCTTGTATATTCGGTGTATGGAAGGACTGTAAGGTGTACATGTCCAACTGGCAGGTGTCATCTGACCTTGACCTCATTTTCATGGTTCAGTGGTTATAGTTAAGTTTTTGTGTTTTGGTCTGTTTTTCTTATACTGTATGCCATAGGTCTACTATATTTGGTGTATGGATGATTGTAAGGTGTACATGTCTAGCGGGCAGGTGTCATCTGACCATGACCTCATTTTCATGGTTCAGTGGTCAAAGTTAAGTTTTTTGAGTTTTGGTCTTTTTTTCTAATACTATATGCAATAGTTCAACTATATTTGGTGTATGGAAATATTTTATGATCTATTTGGCAGTCACGCAGGTTTTATTTGACCTTGACCTCATTTTCAAGGTTCATTGCTCAGTGTTAAGTTTTTGTGTTTTGGTCTGTTTTTCTTAAACTATAAGCAATAGGTCAACTATATTTGTTGTATGGAAGAATTGTTAGCTGTACATGCCTGCCTAGCATGGTTCATCTGACCTTGACCTCATTTTCATGGTTCATTGGTCAATGTTTAGTTTACTTGGTTAATGTTAAGTTTATGTGACAGTTGTAATAAAGCTTTATATTTAGGACTATCAACATAATATCAATGATTAGTAAAGAAGGCGAGACATTTCAGCGTGTGCACTCTTGTTGATAATTTAAGGTTACAGGTATCTTTCATTTTAATTAAATTGCAATACAATTATTTCTTTCCTTTTTCAGGTAGTGTTTGCAATGGGGGCATTAGTTAATAAAGTATGGTTGATGGATGTTGGAAGATTTATCTTTGGGTATGTGTATTCTTGTCTTGCCATGATGGAGTCAAAATGCGAGACTTAGATATGCTGTTCTGACAGCGGCATGAAAATTTTTTTTAAAGTTTGTGATTAGATCAGTTTAAGGGGAATCACTTATGATAAGTCATTGATATTTGGAACACAGTTGTATTAGCATAGGGAAATCTTATTTAAAGGGAAATCATTTGGTCCTGTACCTTCAGTCATGGTTCATTGACTTTTAATATTTTGCATATTTTACATGTTATAGTATTGCTATTTTAAATTAAACATTTGCATTTTACTATCAAAATGACACAGAGGCGAGAGGCGAGACATCTCTCTGTGTCAACAGTTTATTTACCTATCTTTGATAATTACATATGAATATAAAAAAAACCTTTATAGACTTGAATGCTGTTATAAAAGTTTTATCAAATGAAAGAAAATGACCTTAGCACATTTATCATGTTTATTATACAGAAACTTGGAATATCCAGTAATAATGATAGATTTTTTGGGGGTAATTAATTTGGTTCAAAAAGTTAAAAAATAGTTTAGAGGGAATTAATAAGTATATTGAAATATAAAGTACAATCTTGGTTATAGAATTGGTGGTGAATCATTAGCTGTGGCACAAAATACATATGCTGTGAAATGGTTTCAAGGGAGAGAACTTAACATGGTGTTTGGATTACAACTTAGTTTTTCTCGTGTGGTAGGTATATTTTTTTTTTGACATCAGTAACTTTGTCAAACCTTTATAGAATTTTATGAAATTTTGACAGAAGCTTTTTGATGACCAAAATAGACAGTATCCAGAGAAAATTTTGAAAATATTTTTTACATTTTTTCCGTATTTTATTGATAAATGGATTTTTTTTTTTAAAGTTAATATTCAGATTTAGTCTAGGGTTAAAGTTTTTCAGTCATCAATAACTTTGTCAAATCTTCATGGAATTTTACTCAAGTTAGACAATGGCTTTTTCATGATCAAAAGTCAGTACCCAGAGCAAAATAATGAAAATATGTTTTTCTTTTTTCTGTATTTTACTGATAAAAGGAATTAGTTTTTTGCAGTATACAAGTAGATACAGTCTGGGGTTAAAGTTATTTACACATCAATTACTTTGTAAAACCTTCATAGAGTTTCATGAACGTTTGGCAGAAGCTTTTTTATGATTAAGAGATAGTGTCTGAAATAAAATTTTGATAATATTTTTTTCTTCTAATTTTCATTTTTTACTGATAGATGGACTTTTTTGATGATGATAAATTTGTAAACCTTCATGGACTGTTATGAAACTTGGACAGAAGCAAATCTTTAAGATCAAGAATTAGCATCTAAAGAAATGAAAGAAAAAGTTTTATTTTATTCTCTATTTTGCTGATTAATGGAGTAACTTTGCTTGATTATGCTTATTTATATTGCTTGATTAAGTGCCACTATATATAAATATATGTGAATGCCTGTCAATCAACGAAGAAGAAAAAAATAAATTATAAAAAAAAATATTAAAAAAATGGAGTAGCTTTGTACAGACAACATTACACTTTTAAACTAAAAACCAAAAAACTGTACCTGACAAAAAAAAAACTGATATTTCAAATCAAGACCACAACTTTTGCACCAATTGTGCTTCTGTATTTTTGATAAATTTTCAGGGCAGTACAGTGAATATGAACATCATGCAGCCAATATATAAATTTGTCAGTAACAGTGGACATAAAGGATATGAATGTTTGGGCATTGTTTTATTTATAGGTATGTTTAGTTATTGTACAAAATCTATTAGATGTACATGTACATAATAAGTATGTGCAATTAATTTTGGGATGAAATTAAGTGGTTCACAAAAAAGTGCAAAACACATTGTATATATAAAATTCAGGATATGATTTCCAATGAGACAACTATTCAACAGAGTCCAAATGACATGAATGTCAGCAACGATAAGTCACCTTACGGCCTTGAACAATGAGTAAAACTTGTTCTGTATAAAATCTATAATAGGCCCCAAAGTGACAAAGCATGAAACAATTCAAACCAGAAAATCAACTGCTTGATATATGACAAAACAAACAATAAAAAAATATGACAGACAGCAACCAATGACAACCACTGAATAACAGGCTCCTGACTTGGGATTAGTATGATACAACTTAGTCTTATAATTAACTAACCTAAAGATAGCGATCAATTCAGCATTATATTTATTTACAAAAATGTATATGCCCATCTTTTTCAGGTGGTATAATTTGTATCTTATCACTCATATGTGCATTAGCTTTAGGATATTTTGACAAAAGAGCAGACAGAATATTGCAAAGAAAACAGCTTACATCAGGTAAATTACATTTTAAAGAGATATTTCTGAAAAATAATTCCAGTTACAGGAGGATAATAAAACATGTTATTTCATACCCATCTTTTTTTATGGTAATAATATATATAAAGCAAACAATGTTCTGAATTGTCAATCAAATCCTACTTTTTTTGGCTAAATAGACTAGTTTATTGAGTAATTATTGTACTGTTATTGTAATTATTGTATCTGTGACTTTTCAGGATTCATTTCAATTTATGTATCTTTTGTTTGAAACAAGACTAAAAGATTTGTTTTTTTTTCTTCATTGAAATTTTGTACGTTGAACAATATCATGTCTTCCTGCACTGCTCATGACATTTATGTATGATACTTACTTCAAAGTAAAGCTGCCAATGTTAACATTATCTATTTTGTTATTTAAGGAATTTGGTGTAGAAGGAATATATGTAAAAGTCTCAGTTAAATTTATTCATAGTATTTGTAGACTCAGGTCAATTAAGAGCTTTGCATACAATATAATAACTTTATAATACCAAATATTGAAATCTTAGTGTTGTTATGTTCCTGTCTCTCTGATGTTTACTAAGTATTCTACATCTCCTGTTCTCTTAATGTTCCTATCTCTTTGATGTTTACTAAGTATTCTACATCTCCTGTTCTCTTAAGGTTCCTGTCTCTCTGATGTTTATCCTACATCCACTTTTATTTAGTTTAGACAGGTTTACTGTAAATATGACTCAATTTTTTTTGACAAGCATATGTGGATAATTGATTGTAGAAATTAATACTGGATTATGATTTTTATTCACAGAAGAAACAATAAGAATAACAGATGTAAAAGATTTTCCTGCCACAATGTGGTTGTTATGTATTATTTGTGTCATGTACTATGTAGCAGTATTTCCATTCATAGGCTTGGGTTTGTAAGTATTAAGATATCTTTTCCTTATATGTAGGTGAATTCTGAATGACCTATTTAGCTCATCTGATTCTATGAGCCAGAAAAGCTATTGCCATCAGTTGGCGTTTATCATCATCATTGTCCTGTCTTGAAGAGTAAGATAAATTGATGGACTTGTTCAGAAATTATGAATATATTTACAGAAACTGTAAACAGTGTAAATGATCAGCAATACAATGATCTACAAAAATGTCAAAATGACTGAAACCATTACTTGACTTCTATATCAACTTTTAGTAGTCATTGCCCTTAAATGATGGTTTGAAACCAAATTTATTGTAAAAGCATATTATTTTGAAAACTGTAGACAGAAACAAAAATAACTTGCTTCCTTGTAAATACACTCAAAATAGCTGTACATATGAAAATAAAGAATGACATTATTTTTTGGGAAAAGAATAATTTCGATAATGATGAAAATAAATATCAAGATGTCATATTTGTGCCAAGTTAGTGATCTAGGCTCTAAGCAGCCTCTAGTTCATGATTTGAAGAAATGTCATTGTTTAACTTATATGTGCCATTTACTGATCATGTAGAGTTTTAATCATGTTTATACTTTATTCAGGATTTTATTTTGTACAGTTCAAACTCATCAATAGAAGATTGATTTTCCAAATTTATTAAAGGGGAGACAATTATTGTTCTGTAGACATGAATGGATTTTTTTTCACCTTTGTCTATATTTGGGGGTGGGGTGTCTCTTTTACACTTCAATTATCAAACAGTATTTTTGCCTTTTAAAAAAAATATTTTTCATTAAAATGTATGAGTTCATCACTATTCTGTATTTATGAATATAAATGAAAAAAGAAAAACAACATAAAATGAAAAAAAATGTTCAACTAGAAAAAAGTATTCTTCATTTGACAAATATTATTCATGGTTTTTTTCAGAGTATTTTTTGAAATGAAATGGGATTTTGATCCTAGTCTAGCAAATAATGTGAACAGGTATGTACCTTAAGTCTGATGTAATTTAATGTTTATTGCTTAACTTAAATCTTATGAACACCAAATATTTTTATGAAATAACTTCACAAGTTAGGGCTGTTTCATATAAACATACATGGGACCCAGGGAAGGCACTTCCAAATCTCAACTATTGGGTAGTTGTCTATGTTTTTGCATAGTGGAAATGTAAGTGAAATTTTAATTTGCCTCTACAGGTGGTTACCCCATTTGTAAAGTGCCTTCCCTGGGTACCATGTATTTTTTAATTGAACAGCCCTTAGTTATTATCTTTTCTGTGATTGGAATCCTAATCCTGTGATGACAACCATGTAAATAATTTGTATAAAGCTTTACATCTAAGAAGGTAAAAAATCTGGATATTCCATATCTTAAATCGAGAGGCTCTATGCTCTGAAGTATCTTACTGGCATATGTCTATTGTCCTTCACCTCAATTGTATGGTTTAGGGAATGCATTAAATAACTTTAGGATTTTGTTTTTCTCTCCTCTGAGACAATACAGTTAATTCTCAAATACTATAAGTAATAAATCAATATAATTGTTCAATAGAATAATTGTAAGGTGTACATGTAGTTTTTGCTGTCAGACTAAGCAACTGAACAAAATGTTTTTAAAATGTCCTTGTAAAAGCCTTAATTCATGATGTAAAATTGATGGTGACATTAGTTGTAAAAAATACTTATGTTGCTTTTTTCTGTAAAAATTACCTTCTAATTTTAATTTTAAAATCTCAAGAGTTAATATAAATAAACTTCATGATAAGGCAAATTGTACCTTCATAAACTTAAGTTTGTAATTAAAACCATGAATTGTTCAAAAATTATAAATTTAAAATTCTGTGAAACTACAGGTAAATAGAGAAAAAAAAAACTGCAGGTTATACTGCATTTAGCTTTAGAAAGTATTACAGAATGGAGTAAGAAATGGGTTCAAAATTAAAAAAAATATACTTTTTATTAGTATGAGATACTAGAGGATATATATACAGAAAGAAGTGACTGTAGTACCTATGTGTTAAACTTATGTCTGTTCTATTTCAGTTTAGTATACATCATATCTGCTGTAGCTTCACCAGTGTTTGGATTTTTGATAGATAAAACTGGGAGAAATGTTTTCTGGGTAATTCTTGGTACAACAGTAACCATTGGTTGTCATGCTTTATTAGCATTCACATTTATTAATCCATATGTTGCTATGGTAAGTTTTTTTTCATTATTTACAAAATAAGATTGATAAACAAACTTGTTCAGAATTATTACTTTCAATGAGGATTAAAAACATCAGAAACTTATATCACATGAATTTTTTTAATATGCTTATTAAAAAAAAAAAGAGGATATATCGGTTGAGCATGAATTCGATGAGTATATAACCTACAATTTGTTAAATACTATATGGTAACCTGAGCAACCACAGTTATAAATTATAATGAAAGTGCATGCTAAAGAATCCATAGTGGAAATAATGTCATGTAAAAAAGAGGCGAAAGATCAAACTCGTAAGTCACAAATAAACTGACAACACAATGCCAAAAAATGAAAAAGACCAAAAGAAATACAACAGTTAACAAAACAAAACATAGAAAACTAGAGACTGAGAAAAATCAACCCCACCAAAAACCAGGGTTGATCTCAGGTGCTCCAGGAGGGTGAACAGATCCTGCTTCACATGTTGCACCTGTCATGTTGCTCAAGTAAGTACAAACCCGGTGATAAGTCTAATTCGGTAGGCCCCTTTTAGTTATATTTCTGCTTTCAAACTTAAATTCATGAATGTTTTTTATTTACAGATTACAATGGGATTTGCCTATTCTGTCTTAGCCAGTGCTTTATGGCCAATAGCAGCACAAATAGTGCCCAACAATCAACTAGGAACAGCTTATGGAATGTAAGATCATTTTCATGTTATTTATTGTCTCAATTGGTCATAGGTGTTCTAGGGTAATTATGTACTAGTTGTCATGTTAAAACAATTCAATAATCAGTTTTTTGGGCAAGGTCTACTCACTCTACTGCTGCATTTCCTATTTTTTCTCACCTTGACATTGCTTGACGGAGTCAAAAAGCAAGACATAGGTATGCTGTTTTCGGCGACAACAATGTATTAGTTTGTGATTAGGTCTAGTTCATGGTGAACCACTAGTGGTAGGTCAATGATATTTGGTATGCAGTTGTATTAGCATTGGCACATCTCATTACCATGGTGATTATTTGGCCCCCCGCCTCAGTCAAGGTCTATTGACCTTGAAACTTTACTTAGTTTACATGTATTAGTTTGTGATTAGGTCAGTTTATGGGGAACCACTAGTGGTAGGTCATTGATATTTGGTATGCAGTTGTATAAGCATTGGCATATCTCATTTCCATGGAGATAATTTGGCCCCGCCCCCTCATTCATGGTCTATTGACTTTGAAACTTTGCTTAGTTTTCATGTATTAGTTTGTGATTAGGTCAGTTTAAGGGGAACCGTAAGTGGTAGGTCAATGATAATTGGTATGCAGTTGTATAAGCATTAGCACATCTCATTTCCATGGAGAATATTTGGTCCCTACCCCTCAGTCATGGTCTATTGACTTTGAAACTTTTGCTTAGTTTACATGTATTAGTTTGTGATTAGTTCAGTTTAAGATGAACCACTAATGTTAAGTCAATGATATTCAGTATGCAAATGTATTGGCATTTGCAAGTTTCATTTCCATGGAGATTATATAACCCCACCCCCTAATTATGGTTCATTGACTTTGAAACTTTTATATAGTTCACAAGTTAATGTTTGTGTTTAGGTAAGTTTAAAAGGAACGACTTATGAAAAGTCAACGGTATTTGGTTTGCAGTTGTATTAGCATTGGCACATCTCATTTCTGTGGAGATTGTTTAGCCCTGTACCTTCAGTCATGGTTCATTGACTTTGAATATTTGCATAACTTACATGTTAAAGTATTGCTATTTTAATTTCAACATTTGCATTATCAAAATAACAAATAGGCGAGACATATATCTGTGTTAACAGTTTATTGTCATTATCTGAGTTATTGCCCTATTTAAATGACTAAAAGGCAAACTATATATGGTTGTGATAATTTTCCCACAGTTCAGATATGATTCGAAAGTTGATTGATGCAGTTGCATTAAATTCAAAAATGTTTTTTTAATTAATTTTTTAAAAGTTATGCCTTGTGACTGCAAATCTTGTAACTTTCAGACATTTGTGATGTAAAATAATAGAATGTTTACTTTACATTTCTTCTGAATTATGTATATTTGCAGAACTCTAGAATATATGTCAAACTAATATTAGATATCCCTGTTTATTTTCATTTTTTCAATGCAGAAATGTCTTGATTCAATGAAATTAACAATGGAATTATGAGTTATTTTAGTGATGTGAATGGCATCAGTTTAATATTTTGTATATTTTACAGGATATTCAGTAAAGTCTAAACATTTTTTTTTGTCAAATAGCATGGGGTTAGATACAAAATTTTTGTCTAAACATCAGAAACTTAGTTTATTTATATTATAGAATGCAAGCTATACAGAATTTAGGATTAGCAGTAGTAGCTATTATAGCAGGTGCAATAGTAGATTCTAAAGGATATCTGGTGTTAGAAGTCTTTTTTCTGGTCTGTCTCTGTGGTAAGTTTGTACATATCATTGAGTAACTCATAGTATTTTGAAATATTTGCTTTATGATTTCAAACTTTTTGCATATATTTCAAAACTGGAAAATCTGCCAAAATAGTATCATTTTGAGAGCTTGTCATTATAGGTATACAATAAAAATAAGAAGATGTGGTATAATTGCCAATGAGAAACACTTCACCAGAGACCAAAAGACATAAAAGTTAACAACTGTAGGTCACCATACAGCCTTCAACAATGAGCAAAACCCATACTGCATAGTCAGATATAAAAGGCCCTGAAAGGACAAATGTAAAACAATTCAAACTAGAAAAAAATCAACTGCCTGATTTGTGTACAAAGCAATGAATGGAAAATAAATATGATATACAGCAAAAGACAACCACTGAATTACAGGTTCCTGACTTGGGACAGGCACATACAGAATGTGGCGGTGTTAAACATGTTTGCGGGTTCATCTCTCCCCTAACCTGGGACAGTGGTGTAACAGCACAATATATGAACATACTATAAAATCAGTTGTAAAGGGCTTAACTCATCAGATCAATACAAAGCAGAAAAACAAATAACAAAAACACAGACCAGACTAGCAGGGTATTAAACATGAACTCAACAAACAAGACACTAAGTACAGATATGAGAGTACTCGCAGTTACTGACAGCTAGTTCAAAGCCAATCACGACATTGAACTAATAAAAAAATCATGTATCTAAGACTAAAATATCAATCAGTACACATCCAGCATCCAATGGATTTAGTGGAGAGACGTCAAAAACAGTTAGAGAAAAACATGACCTCGTGCAATGCCAAATTACAGGTATCGACAGATTGTAGAACCGTGAATGTTATATGACAATAATATTTAGTTTGGTTTTAATTTACTGATAACAAAATCAATATTTATACCAATAAAAACAATATTTAAAGATCTATTTACAGTGTTGAATTGGTAACCTTTTAGAATAAGTTTATTTAAAGGATCCCTAAGTTTACCCGGATCGTATCTTAATTTCCTTGCTCTTTAACCAACATCACAGTAAAAATTAGGATGTGCTATACAGTTTGAAATAAGTTTTCTATAGGTACAGCCAAACTTACAAACCAAATCTTTGTATCTATGGAAGAATTTAGTAAAGGTTTTAAGTAATTTGTGGTAACGAAATAATAATAATTTACAAGTAATACATAGATTATGTTTATTGAAATCCAATTTGTCACTACAGACACAGGCATAGCAAACAAGTTGTAATATATAATTACCATAAGACGGTGGCAAAGGAGCATCACCATCCAGAAAAGGAAAAGTAACAATAGGGAAAGAAAAATCGTCCCTTTTGTTGTAAATTTTAATGTAGTGTTTTCCACGTAAAACTGAAATACTACCACATCCTTACTGAAAAAGATATTTTGCTAAGAGATGTCTTATACAAAAATGTTAATGTGGGTAAAATATTTTTTTGGGGTAAAGCCTTGGTCATATATATTTTTTGGAAAAAAAGTATGTGTATAATGGTCAATTTAGGTCAAAAATAACAATTCCAACTTGTCATGGCATCCAAGTGACATCACAGCTGACAGTTTCGTTCAAATGTGTTGAGATCATATCATCCTATTAATTATCAATAGAAACTAATGTAGTTGTGAAATGATTGAATATTCTTTTCAATTTCAGGGTCCAAAATATGGCTTTTATAATATCTCCCCCTTTTCTTTATTTTTCAGTTGCTTTGATAGCTGCTGTATTGTTATATCTCTTAGATGCTTCCAGAGGTAGGAAACACATTTTGATTTACAAAAACTGCAGTTTAACTTGTTTTTATCAAATGTTTTTCATTGTTCAGAAAAAAGAAGGTCCTTTGGAGGATTTCATTTTAATGTTTTTATAAGGTTTCTGGTCATAGGAAAACAGGGAAAACTCAATGAAGTTTTGTTACTGAAGTTCATCAAACTCACATCCTACAACCTTTCTACTGACATATATTTTAAGAATCTAAGCGCCTTGAAAAAAATGATGAATAAAGTTATCAGAGACTTATCAAAATTGCAAAGAACAGATGTTACTTGAGGAAGAAAAAAATCAAGATATCACTTCAATACAAGTACTGACAATGGTCTGTCAAGAAGCAGAGTGTGAAGACATTACTTTCTAAAGTGATGGAATATGTCTTTACTTTTAAAACAAGAATTGGAGGAAAGAGAAAGACATGGATATTGTTGAATGAAAATATAGGCTGTTTTCTGAATTTTGCATATTAAGAATACATCTGAAAACTAATGCCATTTCATACAACAGTAGTTGATACTTAGTTCATCTTAGATTATTTGAAGTGAAATGTATCATTAGTAAAAAAAACAATGGATATTGGGGCATGTGTTCATGTTACTTCAGAAATCATTGGCAAAGAAAAACTGAAAAAGATGTGCACTATAAAATCTTTGTTATGACATTTTAAAGAGTCTAGGGTTTTCAAAAATAAGGTCAACATTCATATCCCAAGAAGTTAAAAAAAAAAGCCAGCAGACTTCTAGTTCAGTCTTAATTTTGATAAGAACCATTTGTATGGTGTTTGTGTATTTGTATATGTACATTTCTTTATAATTTCTGTCTTAAAGAGTCCTCGAATCTGACAAATTTATAATAGTCTTCCTACAATGGTCATTATACTGTGATCCAGTCATCTATTGGATAATTATTCAAACAATGATCACATTGTAATCAGATTAAACATTGTAATACAAGGCTAATTGTCAATCTTAGGTGCATGATGTTAGAAAAGCATGCTTTACTGGATAATATGGTACTGGTATTAAAAATTAAAAGATAGAATAGCTTAAGTCTTAAGTTTTTTTTTTCCTCATGCAACTGCACTCCACTTTGTGAAAAAACATAATTTCTACATATTTAGAAGATAAATTCAGATTAATTTAGACTTGTGTAAGAATATTTTAATCCTTTGACAGGTGGAAAACTAAATATGAGTGCTAAATTGCGTCAAATAATGAAGGAAGAAGCAGACAAAGAAAAGGAAAAAGAAGAGTAAGTCATTTTAAACGTAAAAAAAAAAAAAAAAAACAATATTAGTGATAATATGAAAAATTTACCAAAATTGAAAATAAAGTGATATGAGAAATATTGACAAGTATAAAAGGGGATGTAGGGTATACATCAATGAGACAGCAACCCAATGACACAAATAACCAAATGAGGTCTAGATGTCAACATCAATGAGACAGCAGCACATTGACACAAATAACCAAATGAGGTCTAGATGTCAACATTCAGTCTTCAATTAATAAATTGGTATCTATATACTAAATCGCTTTAAATTTAAAAAGTTCTGAAAAATTTAACAGAGAAAATCAAAGATCTGCCTGAAACACTGTCAGCTTTCAAAAAGTCTATTTCCAGGAGCCAAGTAATGGCTCTTATCATACCTCTTATTTTCCATTTCATAAAGGAAAAGGTCCGGTCCAGTAGGGGCTAATTTTGGCCTACATTTTGAAGTACATCTGATGAAAGATTTTTGACATTTTTTATACACTTATGGTCAGATCATATGTTTTCCTACGTCATATGTTTTCCTACGTCATATGAATTCGTACTATGCATGCTTTTTCAATGGAAATTGTGACGTCGCTATGCATTCTTAATAGCACGAAAACCCATGAGACGAGGATAAGTGTCGATTCAATTAGTTTATGTCAAAGATTTGAACTGATTTGGTCAGTAAAGGGGCTCAATTTCAAGCTTAAATATGAAAAGTCTATCAAATATGCCACAAAACGTCACTTTTCAGATGGTTTTGGTCTAAAATGGTAGTGGCCGCATTCGTGTTCAGTCTTAACCTTTATATATGTTATGTATTATCATCAAATACAACATATATTTAAATTTTAAAACTGAACACAAGTGCGGCCACTTCCATTTTAGACAAAAACCGTCTAAAAATTAGCACTAGCACAAATGCTAAAATAGTGAAGATTTCAGTAATTTTGCATGAATTATTAAATGATGTTAGTACCTGATGCATGTGTATTGTATTGTCATAAAAAAGCCCATATTTGTGTGACAAAAGTGTTCTACTTTAATTCCTATTAATAGCTAAAAATTTACATTTTTAAACATCCAAAATTTACATTTTTAAACATCCAAAATTTTCAGTCAAAACTAACCTATGATGGTTTTGGCTGTTTTGGTAAGTTCATTTTGGTTAGCTGTGTTAGATTTTTGTCATTCCAAATTTATCCAAGAAACTTGTCAGTATCATATATATTTTTATGACAGAAGAATATTGTTATTCCTTTTGTGTATGTGCTACTACTAGCACTCAAGATGCAAAAACAGGGTCTGTCTTTTAGCTGAAAAAGAAGTTTAAACTTCATGAAATTTCTATTAAAGTATGAAATATGTTTAGAGTCCATCAAGTCTCCACTTTTCACTCTTTCAGAAAGATGTGACTTACCATAAACAACATAATGGTAAAAACATGCACTTTTTTTCTTTTTCAGGAAGAAGCCTTTATAAAAGAATAGAATTGTTGAAATAAAGAAACTGTCAAACCAATGTGCCAAAAAAACATTTTGATATAACATTACAATATTATAGAACAAGGCTGTATCTAAGTTATCTCTCTTGTGTGTGCAATATAAGATAACATGACAGTATTTAAAATTTGTATTATACCTTGATAATAAAACAGTAGGTGAGCAAAGGCCTGTAATTATGAACTGGTTACCATGATTGTGATGTATGTTTCTATTTGCCCATAGTAGATAAGAACAGACAATTCTTGTATTAACTTTCGTAGTTCAAAAGATTTATAGTAAAAGGAAGATACCATATGTCCCTTATTTTAGTACATAAAGTGAGCAATGAAATTAAATTTTACAAATATGTTATTAATTCATATCATAGATCAATTACAAGCAAGTTTTGTAAACACTTGAGTTTTATGCAAAAGTGAACATAATTATGAAAATTGTTACTGTATTTTTCTTAAAAACATTCCTTCATTTAATTTAAAGTTATTTGGATACTGGTAATAATGTATGTCAAGAAGGGCAGTTATGAATAGGTGCTGTAACTATTTACAGATATTTAAAGGTGCTATACAAGATTATTTATAGTAGTAAAGAAAATTGTTGCTCAAATTTACTAAAGCAAATGGCAAATGTTCATGCTATAGTATCCATTACTACAATGTATTATAGAATGACCCCAAAAAATAACAGTTGCATAAACAAAACATAATTCCTTATAACACACTACTCAACACGTTTACTGTAACAGCGTTAATTGAATCTTGAAAAAACAAAATTGCAAAAAAGAATTAAAAAAAAGATATTTTCAAGATAAAGAATGCAGGAGTATTAAAATAGATTTTGCACAATTTTAATAGTTTCAAAACCAAAAGGAGCTAAATAAGATAATAAATTACACTTTACATGGTACATAGAATCATTTAGTCTGTCCTACACAATTTTGTGCTGCTTTGAGATACACTTTAACATTCCAGGTCAACATGTTGTGATTGTATAATACTGCATTTAGCATAAGACCTTTATCATAATAAGTTTGGACATAGTGACCAAATCAGGTTGTTACTTTCATTATATTACAGTTGTAGATTTGTAAAAGATTGTAGGAACTTTATCCTTTAAACAACGTTTAACTGCAAAAAATATTAAGTATATAGATTTAAGTAATTTTTAATAAAAAAGATAAGAATGTTGCAAATATTTATCATGATTTTATATATTTCCTCTGTTTTGAACCAGTTAATAATAGAATGCTTTATTAAAAAAAAACATTTCATCAATCCTATTAATTTGGTTAAGTTTGGAGACGTCCTTTTTAGTTATTCACACATTTGTTTTATGAAATACTGAAATTGAAATAATTCTTCATCCATACATTAATTTGTATGTACATGTTTTACCTAGATTTTACATTTTGTTAGAAGAAAATTAAAAATGTAACACCGTTTTATTTTTTTATTTCAGATCAAATTTTCCAAAAATGTCAAAATGACTAGAAGCAAGCATTAAAATTGTTTTCATAGTGCTTTTTATACGACCGCAAAAAAATTTTTGTGGTCGTATATTGGTATGACGTTGGCGTCGTCGTCGTTGTCGTCCGGCGTCGTCGTCGTCGTCGTCGTCGTCGTCTTCCGAAGACACATTGGTTTTCGCACTCTAACTTTAGTTTAAGTGAATGGATCTTTATGAAATTTTACCACAAGGTTCAATACCACAAAAGGAAGGTTGGGATTGATTTTGGGGGTTATGGTAATAACAGTAAAGGAATTAGGGGCCAAAAATAAGCATTTTTGTAACTTCCAGACATATCTTGTGTGTTAGTGTATGGATCTCTCTGACATTGTACCACAAGGTTCCATATCACTAAAGGAATGCTGGGAATTGATTTTGGGGGTAATTGCCTCCAAATTTTAGGAATTAGGGGCCAAAAAAGGGGCAAAAAACAAGCATTTTTCTAGTTTCATGACAATAACTTGTGTATCAGTGTATGGATCTTTCTGAAATTGTACTACAAAGTTCCATATCACAAAGGGAAAGCTGGGTTTGAGTTTGGGGGTAATTGCCGTAAACGTTTAGGAATTTGGGGCCAAAAAGGGGCCAAAAAACACATTTTTTTCTAGTTTCCAGACAATAACTTGTGTTCAAGTGTATGGATCTCTCTGAAATTGTACTGCAAGGTACCATACCACAAAGGGAAGGCTGGGATTGAGTTTGGGGGTGATGAATCATAATGGGGGTTCAAAAAATTTTGGGGGGGGATTTATTTTTTTTTTCCTTTTTTTTCTTTTTTTCCTTTTTTGTTTCTTTTAAAATTTTCCATTTTAAGTTGGTTATTTCTGATTTATATTTAAAATCAAATAATAATGATATGGTAGGAGATACACACCAAACAGGATGTGTAAATTATTATATAATAAGTATTGTGCAATAGCAAGAAATTTTCAATTGCACAGTATTGCACAATAGCAAGAAATCTTCAATTGCACAGTATTGCGCAATAGCAAGAAATCTTCAATTGCACAGTATTGCGCAATAGCAAGAAATATCCAATAGCACAATATTGCGCAATAGCAAGAAATTGTCAATTGTACAGTATTGCGCAATAGCAAGAAATATTTAATAGCACAGGATTGTGCAAAAGAAGATACTTCCTATAAATTGCTTATTTCTTGACCAATTTCAATGGGGTTTTATTCTTGATTTCATGGGGTTCTTTAATATGCTGAATCTAACCGTGTATTTAGTTTTTGGATTTTGGGCCCCGTTTTTAAATTGGTCCACATTGAGGTCCAAAGGGTCCAAAATTAAACTTTGTTTGATTTCATCAAAAATTGAATTATTGGGGTTCTTTGATATGCCGAATCTAACTGTGTATTTAGATTCTTAAATTTTGGTTCCGTTTTCAAATTGGTCTACATTAAGGTCCAAAGGGTCCAAAATTAAACTTAGTTTGATTTTAACAAAAATTGAATTCTTAGGGTTCTTTGATATGCTGAATCTAAACATATATTTAGATTTTTGATTATGGGCCCAGTTTTCAAGTTGGTCCAAATCAGGGTCCAAAATTAAACTTTGTTTGATTTCAACAAAAATTGAATATATGGGGTTCTTTGATATGCTGAATCTAACCATGTATTTAGATTTTTTATTTTTGGGCCCCGTTATCAACTTTGTCCACATTGAGGTCAAAAGGGTCCAAAATTAAACTTTGTTTGATTTCATCAAAAATTGAATTATTGGGGTTCTTTGATATGCCGAATCTAACCGTGTAATTAGATTCTTAATTTTTGGTTCCGTTTTCAAATTGGTCTACATTAAGGTTCAAAGGGTCCAAAATTAAACTTAGTTTGATTTTAACAAAAATTGAATTCTTAGGGTTCTTTGATATGCTGAATCTAAACATGTATTTAGATTTTTGATTATGGGCCCAGTTTTCAAGTTGGTCCAAATCAGGGTCCAAAATTAAACTTTGTTTGATTTCAACAAAAATTGAATATATGGGGTTCTTTGATATACTGAATCTAACCATGTATTTAGATTTTTGATTTTTGGGCCCCGTTATCAACTTTGTCCACATTGAGGTCAAAAGGGTCCAAAATTAAACTTTGTTTGATTTCATCAAAAATTGAATTCTTGGGGTTCTTTGATATGCTGAATCTAACCATGTATTTAGATTTTGGATATTGGACCATAATAGGTGAATGTCCAATTTAAAATTTTTAAGTTCTTAGACCACATTCAATCTGTGTTAGAAACCTATGCTGTGTCAAATATTTAATCACAATCCAAATCCAAAGCTGTATCAAGCTTGAATGTTGTGTCCATACTTCCCCCAACTGTTCAGGGTTCGACCTCTGCGGTCGTATCAAGCTGCGCCCTGCGGAGCATTTTATTATGCAATGTACATGTATTTCATTTTAAAAACTTTTACAGTGAAAAGACTTAATACAAATAGTAAAACAAAATGAATTTTCAATAGCAGTATCATGGGTTTTTTCCTGACAATTAACTGGTTTGGGAAAATGATGAGTAGGAATTTTAAATTTAAAAAATCTAGTATTGATCCATCCATTTTTCTAATTCTACGGGTGTTTCTCTGTCCTTATTTTACAGGTTTCAGTCTCATAATCATTTAACATAAAATCAATTTCATTTTCTTCTAGGTTGTAATATCTCATAAAAATGTATGTACATTCAATTAATTTGATTTGATCTGAAGAATAAACAAATTTTGTTCTTTTAATTTGATAACCAATGAAATTTGAATTCAGTGATTCAGTTAATTAATTGTAAGATTTAAATTACATAATTTAAAAATATTTTTGTTAAAAACAAAATATACATACTCATTGTTAAAATACATAAGCTATATGGGTGTTTTTAACTTGTGTAATCAAATGATTAATTTTATACCGAAAATATGAAATTAAATTTGGTCATAAACATTTAAATATTTTGAAAATATTGTACATTGAATCAGTAGGAGCATTTTTGTCTAGCCTTGCAGAAGTGCTGGAGGTGAGATTTAGGCATGCTGTTTCAGCTGGTGTTGACAGCAGCATCAACAATTTGTTAAAATTTGGAAATAGGTTAGTTGTAGGGGAACAACTAATGGTAAGTCAATGATATTTGGTTGTATCAGCATTAGTACAACTCATTTTCATGGGGATTTTTTAGCCTGTCTATCATGGTCTATTTACTTTGAAAGTTTTGCATAGTTTGTTTTATAAATTTGTAAGTATGTCAGTAAAAGGGAAATTACTAATGGCAAGTCAATGATATTTGGTATGCAGTTGTATTAGCATCGAATTTCTATGGAGATTATTTTACCCAGCTCCCTCAGTCAAAGTCTGTTGACTTTGAAATTTTTGCACAGTTTACATGTAAAAGTTTGATTAGGTCAGTTTAAGGGGAACCACTGATGATAAGTCAATGATATTTTGGTATGCAGTTGTATTATCATTGGCATATCTCATGCACCCTGAGTCAAGGTTCATAGACTTTGAAACTTTTGATTAGTTTACATGTTAAAGTGTTGCCACTTTTATTTCAACATTTGCATTTAACTATCAAAATTACATACAGGTGAGAAATATCTGTGCATCAACATTATATTTTATTTTGTATATTTGTAATTCAAATATTGTAATAAATTTTAAATTATTATGTGATTTTCTATGATTCAAATTTTTATAAGTGTGTGACCTACACAATAAGGGGTCCAGATTTTTATACGACCGCAAAAAAATTTTGCGGTTGTATATTGGTATGACATTGGCATCATAGTCGTCGTCCGAAGACACATTGGTTTTCGAACTCTAACTTTAGTTGAAGTGAATGGATCTCTATGAAATTTTACCATAAGGTTCAATATCACAAAAGGAAGGTTGGGATTGATTTTGGGGGTTATGGTACCAACAGTTAAGGAATTAGGGGCCAAAAAGGGGCCAAAAATAAACATTTTTGTAACTTCCAGACATAACTTGTGTGTTAGTGTATGGATCTCTCTGACATTGTACCACAAGGTTCCATATCACAAAGGGAATGCTGGGAATGATTTTGGGGATAATTGCCTCAAAATTTTCGGAATAAGGGGCCTAAAAAGGGGTAAAAAACAAGCATTTTTGTCGAGCCTGCGACTTTTGTCACAGAAAGCTCGACATAGGGATAGTGATCCGGCGGCTTCGTTAGCTAACTTCTTAAAAGCTTATATATTTTAGAAGCTAGAAGACCTGGATGCTTCATACTTTGTATATAGATGCCTTATGTTACGAAGTTTCCGTCTGTCATATGTCCATTGTCCTTGACCTCATTTTCATGGTTCAGTGACTACTTGAAAAAAAAGTCAACATTTTTTGTAATGTTAATTTCTTTCTTATTATGAGTAATAGGATAACTATATTTTGTATGTTCGTACCTTGCAAGTTCCTCATGCCCGTCAGACAATTTTCATTTGACCTCAACCCTTATTTCATGGATCAGTGAACAAGGTTAAGTTTTCGTGGTCAAGTCCATATATCAGATACTATATTTGGTATATGGAATGATTGTAAGGTGTACATGTCCAACTGGTAGGTGTCATCTGACCTTGACCTCATTTTCATGGTTCAGTGGTCAAAGTTAAGTTTTTGAGTTTTGGTCTTTTTTTCTTATACTATATGCAATAGGTCAACTATAAATGGTGTATGGAAATATTTTATGATGTACATGTCAGTCTCACAGGTTTTATTTGGCCTTGACCTCATTTTCACAGTTCATTTCTCAGTGTTAAGTTTTTGTGTTTTGGTCTGTTTTTCTTCAACTATAAGCAATAGATCAACTATATTTGATGTATGGAAGGATTGTAAGGTGTATATGTCTGTCTGGCAGGTATCATCTGACCTTGACCTCATTTTCATGGTTCATCGGTCAATGTTAAGTTTTCATGGTTAAGTTTTTTCTTAGATACTATAAGCAATAGGTCAACTATATTTAATGCCTAAATTGATTGTAAGGTGTACATGTCTGTCTGGCATGGTTCATCTGACCTTGACCTCATTTTCATGGTTCATTGGTCAATGTTAAGTTTTCTTGTTTAAGACTGTTTCTTAGAAACAATAAGCAATAGGTCAACTATATTTGGTTTATTGAATGATTGTAAGGTGTACATGTATTTCTCGTTTGGTTTATCTGACCTTGACCTCATTTTCTTGGATCATGTTAAGTTTATGTGTTACTTGTAGTAAAGCTTTGTTTTTAGGACTATCAACATAAAATCAATGGTTAGTTAAGAAGACGAGACATTTCAGCGGGTGCACTCTTGTTCTAGTTTCATGACAATATCTTGTGTGTAAGTGTATGGATCCTTCTGAAATTGTACTACAAGGTTCAATATCACAAAGGGAAAGCTGGAATTGAGTTTGGGGGTAATTGCCCAAAACGTTTAGGAATAAGGGGCCAAAAAGGAGTCAAAAATAAGCATTTTTGTAGTTTCCAGACAATAACTTGTGTTCCAAGTGTATGGATCTCTCTGAAATTGTACTGCAAGGTACCATACCACAAAGGGAAGGTTGGGATTGATTTTGGGGGTAATTGCCTCAAAATTTTAGGAATTAGGGTAAAAAAACAAGCATTTTTCTAGTTTCAGGACAATAACTTGTGTGTAAGTGTATGGATTTTTATGAAATTGTACTACAAGGTTCCATATCACAAAGGGAAAGCTGGGTTTAAGTTTGGGGGTAACTGCCCTAAACGTTTAGGAATTTGGGGCCAAAAAGGGGCCAAAAAACAAGCATTTTTCTAGTTTCCAGACAATAACTAGTGTTCAAGTGTATGGATCTCTCTGAAATTGTACTGCAAGGTACCATACCACAAAGGGAAGGCTGGGATTGAGTTTGGGGGTGTTGAATCATAAGGGTTTTCAAAAAATTGGGGGGGGGATTTTTTTTTCCTTTTTTTCCTTTTTTTTTCTTTAAAATTTTCCATTTTAAATTGTTTTTTTCTGATTTATATATAAAAGCAAATAATAATGATATGGTTTGAATAGGTAAATTAAAATTTTTAAGTTCTTAGACCACATTCATTCTTAGACCACATTCATTCTGTGTCAGAAACCTATGCTGTGTCAAATATTTAATCACAATCCAAATTCAGTGCTGTATCAAGCTTGAATGTTGTTTCCATACTTGCCCCAACTGTTCAGTGTTCGACCTCTGCGGTCGTATCAAGCTGCGCCCAGCGGAGCAATTTATTCAGATTAAATTCATTTTTTCAATGTTAGGAATTATGATAACTTGAAGATATTTTGTGTCAGGCACGTTTATTTCAGTACATATGATATTCAACTTGTTAACAGGGAAAACATTGTCTTATGATTGGGAAGGAATGTTAGTGTTGTACAGTGAGCAAAAATGTTAATCGTCAAATAAATTAAAAAAAAAGCAATTTCTGAATTATTGTCTGGGTGACAATAAGTATATACAGAGGTCACCCTTATACAAGCTGAGTTTGATTGACCCAAACAGTCTGTTTCCTGGAGTATCTACAGATAACAGGTATATACATTCATAGTGGCCTGTGGATAGACACACTTTGGACTTTAGAAGGAGTATGGTTAAAAAAATGGTTTAAAGATATTAAGGAGTTTAAATTTCTATTTTATTGAGTATACTTATTTATGAACAAATACAACCAATTTAAAAAAAAGACGGAAGATACCAAAAGGAAGTCGAAAACGAACTGACAAATGAATAAAAAACGAAAAACCACAAAAAGACAAACAGCAGTATACAAAACACAACATAGAAAACTAAAGACTGAGCAACACGAACCCCATCAGAAACCGAGGGTGATCTCAGTTGCTTCGGATGTAAGCAGATCCTGCTCTACATGTGGCACCCATCCAGTGGAAAATCCGGTGATAAGTCTAACTTGGTCGGTCACATTCGACAAAAAGAGATGGGGATTGTGGTTACGACAATTGGAACATATCCGTCTTCTCAAGTGAAATAAATATTTCATAGCGGTCAACCAACTCATGACCACTTGGAACTCTTGGTTTAATAGTTTCTTTGTAAGCAGCAAACCTCTATCAACGATATCTTGTAAGGAAATGGAAGGTCTGAAATATCGTATCAGTTGGGTGATTTATACTTAACACACAGGCGCTGCTGGAATGATTCTACATAGAAATGGAAAGTTAATAATTGTAAACTGATATCATCTCTATTGTCGTAAAATGTTGTTCTCATTCGACCATCATTGACAATTTCTAAATGTAAGTTAAGAAATGAGACAAACTTAATTGTATCTACAAGTTTGAGCTTTCTAAAAAGCTGTGGACTGCTTCGCTCTATCCTTATTTAAGGTAATATGTGTGCATGTAGTTGTTGATTTAGTATTGGAAATGTGGTATTTTTAGATATTGATTGATATAAAATGGATGTCTTAGACTTGGAATATCAATTTTTAAAGGCAGTGCTTTAATGCCTTTCTAGTTGCCGTGTTAATCTTTCTTTCCGCGATATCAAACTTATCTACGTGGGGGGTCATGAGGCTCCAAGTAGATCCGGAAAATGTTGATTCTCTCCTCTTCTTATTGTGATATAAAATGTTTTTTGTTTCATTTCATTTACATTGGGAAATAGAGAAATGATCATTGTGTTTTGTTAGTTTTAAAAACTTTTGATATATTTGTATTTTACATTATAAGCAGTCAACCGATTGACAAACTAGAATTATTTGAATTCCGTGTGTAAAGAGGTCGGGTTAATTTCGAGTGTTATCTGCAATCTAGATGTTTATAAATCATTTCAGTCGTTGATATAATAATTAAAGGTCGACTGAACATGAATTATATTATACAATTTAAAGCGCATTTCTGTTTATGCACGCGAACCCGTCTAACGTTATTGTTATTTCGCAGTTATATAAAGTGGCAACTTATCGTTCCTGAATAGGTGGCGCCGTGGTAGCCGATCCTGTTCTTCAACTTCCGGTTTCTGCACTGTGCAAATACAGTTGCATTTTTATCTGGATCTGAAACAGGTGGCGCTGCTTACGATCAGCTGTTCTGAATCGAGCTCCGTATATTTTTCAATATTTAAATAGTTTTTAGTAATTTTAAAACTTAAAAGTTGGGATTATTTATCAACTTTGAACTTTTGGAGGATTGTGTGATTGTTTATAGAAAGACTTTCTGTGACTTTTGCAAAGAAAAAGACATATCTTGTGAACTTGTATGGGATGCGTCCATAGTAACATCCGTACAGAAAGAAATATTTATTTCTATTCTTATTAATGTGTGATTTATTCAGTTTGGAAGTGTAGGACAATTATTTTTAAATTCTTCACTCCGGTAAGACAAAATTTTCTTAATATTTTATTAATTTATTTATTTTTCATTCAATGAGAAATTATCCACTCCGTTGTTGATAAACATTCATTGTGACGTCATCATTTTGTGTGCACATTCTACACTTCCGGTTTTAAAAAATAATCAGAAAGATTGAAGAAATTACAAAAGAATACCAGTCAAGGTAATATTTTTAATTTACAAAATATTTGTGTACAACAATGTACTCATAACATATCTGGTCATGTTAAGAAGAAGTCAAAGAACGAAAAAAGACAAAAACCATTTCACCCCTTCAAAAACAAATCTCCAAAAACAACATAGAACTCCGA